TTTTCAAAATTTAATAATTTGGTTTAGTTTTATTATTTCTTCTCTATTTTTCAATTTTTTTATTCACTTAAATTGCTTTTATATTTTATTTTTCCCAATTTATTTTCCTGTTTTTTTACTTATTTTACATTTTATCTTATTTATTTTTTTTGTATCTGTTTCTTAAATACACTTATTATATTTTTATTTTTGTTTTATAAATTTTAATTTTTATTAATTTTTTATTAATATTTATTTTTTCAAATATTTAATTTTTTATATACTTTTCTTATACTCTTTTCAAATTTTTTTCTGGTTCCATTTTTTTGTTAATTTTTTTTTTAGTTTATTGTTTTACAAATTTATTTTGTATGAATTTTTTATTAATTTTACTATTTCATTTAATATTTTTTATTTATATTATCCTTTTTAATTTTTAATTTTATTTTCAAAATTTAATAATTTGGTTTAGTTTTATTATTTCTCCTCTATTTTTTAATTTTTTTATTCACTTAAATTGCTTTTATATTTAATTTTTCCCAATTTATTTTTCTATTTTCTATTTATTTTATTTTTCGTTTATATCTGTTTCCATTTTCAATTTGTGTATTTGTTTTAGTTTAATGTTTAATTTTTATTTTATTTTATTTTTTATGTTTTTAAAAACATTTGCATTTTCTTTTGTTTTTATTTTATATATACATAAATATACTTATTTTTTGTATATTTGATTACTTTTTGTTTTTAATTGATTCTTTTTCGTCTTTGTTAATTTGTCCTTTTTATATTAAATTTTACATATATGTTATCCCTTTTTTATTTAATTATTAGTTTTAATTATTTTCAATCCTTGTGTATTTATTTTTTGAATTCAATTCATTATTTTAATTTTATTTTTTTTTTGTATTAATTTTTTTATGAATATTTTTTTTTAAATAAAAATTTTTGCATATTTATTTTATTATAACTTTTTTATTAATTTTTAAATTTCTATTTTTTTATGACAATTTTTTTTAATTTATAAACTTTTTTCTATGGACGCCTGTTTCCGCCCGTCAACAATAAATTAAATAAATATGCTGAACTTTGATGAGTGCAGTAAAAAAAGTATACATGCATGCATAGATAAATAGGCAAATTGGCACAAGGATATACAAATAAATATATGTTACATGTGTACATATATTTAAGAGTTGTGCATTTACATGGCACAAGGCAATTTACATTGAAAATTCATATTTCTGGTTGTTGTTCATACTTTTTTTTGTATTATTTTCTATTTTTTTATTTACTACATTTATATAGATATTTGTACAAGCTCACATTTTCTGCCATGACACTTGCGTGCACTTGCACTTGCACTGCTGTCATATGCTCAGTCGTCTCGTCTCGTTTCGTCTCGTCTCGCCCTGCCTTGCATTGCTTCGTCTTTTGCATTGTTTTCTTCTATTGCCTACTATCAGGCGCAAAAATGTCGCTACGCTTCTAAACAATGCCCTTGTGGTTGTTGAAAAGATAAATATACAAATGTGCATATACATATTTTAACTGTGTAAATATGTATTATATGTATATAACATATATATGTATGTATATTGTATTGCCCATTGTACTAGGTCAATGATTTTATTGCCACAAGGCAAATTTTTAGTTAGTGTCCTTTTGCCAATGCGACAATCAAGCAAAGTCAAAACGTAGAGTAAAGGGAAATTTTACGTATTTAAAACTGTTTAACTGTTAAAATGAAATGTGCCTTAAATATAAAAATTAGTGAGTTCTTTTATTATATTTTTCCGAAAGCCCTAGTAGCTAGTGTTTCCATTTTATTGTAATTTTCAATTATAATAAATAATAATTATTATTTTTTTTTTAAATTTGATTTAATGTTAAAGTTTAATGATTTTTTTTATTAATATTTTAAAATTTTTTTTCAAATTTATTTTTTTATAATTTTTTATTTATTTTTTTTTTCATGATCTTATTTTATTTATTTTTTTATAATTTTATTAATTTGTCTTTTGTAACATTTTTTTTTTATTTATTTTTAATGCCCTAGTAGCTGGTGTTTCCAATTTATTTTAATTTTCAATGAGAATAAATAATAAAAATAATTATTTTTTTTAAATTTGATTTATGATTTTTTTTATTAATTTTTTTATGTGTTTTTTAAATTATTTTTTTATGATTTTTTTATTTATTTATCTTTATTTTTTCATGATTTTAATTAATTTATTTTTTTGCAATTTTATTAGTTTATCTTTTATTACTTTTTTTTATTTATTTTTAATGCCCTAGTAGCTAGTGTTTTCATTTTATTGTAATTTTCAATGAGAATAAATAATAATAATTATTATTTTTTTTAATTTGATTCAATGTAAAATATTTATAATTTTTTTATTAATTTTTTATGATTTTTTTTAAATATATTTTTTATTTTTTTAGTTATTTATTTAAATTTTTTACGATTTTATTTTATTTGTTTTTTTATTACTTTTTAATTTATCTTTTATTTTTTTATTTATTTTTAATGCTACTAGGGCAGTATTTCCATTTTATTGTAATTTTCAATGAGAATAAATAATAATAATAATTATTTTTTTTAATTTGATTTAATGTAAAATATTTATAATTTTTTTATTAATTTTTTATGATTTTTTTTTAATATATTTTTTATTTTTTTAGTTATTTATTTAAATTTTTTACGATTTTATTTTATTTGTTTTTTTTTATTACTTTTTAATTTATCTTTTATGATTTTTTCTTATTTATTTTTAATGCCCTAGTAGCTAGTGTTTCCAGTAAATGGAAATTTTCAATGAGAATAAATAATAATTATTTTTTTTTAAATTTGATTTAATGTTAAATATTTATGATTTTTTTTATTAATTTTTTATATTTTTTTTTTTTAAATGAATATATTTTTTATTTTTTTGGTTATTTATTTATATTTTTTTCACGATTTTATTATATTTATTTTTTTATTATTTTTTAATTTATCTTTTATGTTTTTTTAATTATTTTTAATGTTTTTTATTTATTTGTTAATGTTTTTTTTCTCTTATCTTTAAATGTTTTTTTCTTTATTTGTTGATGTGTTTTTTTTAATATTTTTATTTCATTTAATTTTTTTTAATTTATTTTAGTTTTAATTTTATATTAACCTTTTCCTTATTTCTTTTTTGTGTCTTTTTACGTTTTATTGCATTTTTTATGTTTAATTTTAAAATTTTTTGCTTAAAAATTGTATTATGTTTATTTAATTTTTTATATACTTTATTTATTTTCATTTTTTATAATTACTATTTTTGTTATGATGTTTTCATTTTATTTTCTGTATATATATATATATATATATATATATTTTTTTTTTTTTTGTAATAAACAATTTCTTTATAAATAGAAAATTGCTGCTTTTTAAAACAAACTTTCTGCCTTCACGCGTTCATAACTTTAAATCGTCTTTTTACCGTTATTCCCACTTCATTGTCCTTTTCATTTTCTTATCATTTCTGCTAGATTCCTTTATACGCTCATATATTCCCACATATTTATATATGTATATATATATATATGTGAATTTATCTTTCCTCTGGGGCTATCTTTGATCTCGCTTGATTTATCGCGCCCTTTGTATATATATATATTTATATATATATATGTGTGTGTGTGTGTGATTAAAATGTCCTTTTCAGTTTTGTACGCTGATAAATACTGCGTGACGTGATTTATTGGCTTGTAATAGTCAGTAAATTAATATGATAGTATTTTGCGATTCGAATAGTGTCACATTGGAGATTTTTTTATTCATGTGTATGTACCTACATGTAGTAGTTTTCATATCGAGTGAATGGAAGAAAGAAAAATTAAAAAAAAGAAACCAAGTAATTTTTAGAAAAAGATTGAAAATGCACTCACTGCGGAATACAAAGGCGAGTGTATTTTATATACATACATATATATGTATTTTCGAAAACTAAATTAAAATTACAAAAAAAATGTTTTTTTTTTTTACTAATTTTTATTACTTTTATACATAGGAAAAATATTAAATATTTAAGCTAATAATAAAATCATATTGATTTTACATTGGGAATATTTTGATATACCTTTTTTCTGTGTTTTGGTATATTTTAGTACCAAAAAGTATTTTCTACAAAATTTTTTAATCTTACAAGGAAGCAATTTCCACAGCGTATATTTTTTTATTTATGCCAAAAAATGCATACTTTTTGCATAGACGGTTTTTCTGAATATAACAATTTATTTAAATAATTTTTTAAATTAAATTCTCTAATTTTTTGTATGTTATTTTCATAGCCTCACATATTTTTCACAATAAAATTAAATTTTTTTTTTTTTGAAAATTAAAAAAAATGTCGGCCTAGAGTCCCATAAAACCCTCGAGAACAGTTTATTGTTTTATTTATGCATTTATTATATTTTTATAAATATCCAATGCAATATTTTACCTTTGCTCAACAGTTTTTGTAATGTTTTTTTTTAGTAATTTTTTTACATACAAATCTTTTAACAAACACCTACATGCACCCACATACACACACACGTACATATATATTTTGAGCTAATTGAGGAGAAACACACATTTTTAAACATTTGGTCACATGCATTTGTATATAGTGAATCCACATATGACATATACATAGTACATATATATATGTGTAATAATTTTTTTTATTTTTTTTTTAATTTTCTATTTTAAAAAAATTTGTGGCAAATAATTATTGATGATCAAAATTGTATAAGCTTCTTATTATTGTTGAAAATTTTATGTAAAAATGCTTTTCAATGTCTATAAAACAAAACTATATACATATTTACATACATATATGTAAATTTTAACCTCAAAAATTGCTTTAAATAAATGTGTATCTTCTCTACTATTTTCCCATCGTTACTTTGCTTACCGCTTCGCCTAAAACAAACAAAAAATATTCTTAAATAAACCATTAACTACCGCCGAACGCTTACGTAAACTCGCTCTACTCAAATAACCGCCACAGCACTGGCCGCAATTTCAGCGGCGTACCGCGTCGCCTGCTCGACGGCAGCAATCGTCAAATCTCCTCCATCGCGCTGGGCGCCAACACATCACCCTCAGCGGTGGCGGCGGCGGCGGCGGCGGCAAACACTAGCTCTTCACCTTGCGGCACCTTGGGCAGCATTAATTCCACCCATTCCGCGTCCTCGTCCAGCGGCAGCAGCAGCAGCGGCGCTGTCATAACATTCCATTGCGCCGGCAGCGGTCAAGCGGGCATCGGGAGCAGCAGCGACACCGTCGACGGCATTGGCTTGAGCGATGGCGTTGGTACTTCCAATTCCAATCAGCTAATCGGCTCACCAAGCAATAATGGTTTTGGCTCCGGCAGTGGTGGCGTTGTTGGTTATGGTAGCAGCAGTGCTGCGGGTGGCGGCGGCGGCGGTAGCGGCGCCAATAGTCCACGTTTGCCCACCAACACGCTCACCTCCACTTCGACTACAACCGATGCACTGAGCTCTTTGGCGGCTAGTCCTACAGATGCCTGCAGTATACGTTCAAATCCATCGGCCGCCTCACTTTTACTCACCACAGCAACAATGGCTGCTGCCGAAGCGGCAGCGGCACAGGTGGCAGCGAATAATAACGCGGGTTTGTGTTCGACCGGCGCGACTCTATCACCACTGGCGACTACACAAATCATACGAAGGCCCAGCATTACAATGTGCGTTTGCGTTGTTGTGTGGCGTAATTTTTGGTGGAGCTCCTCAAAAGAGGCTCGCACAGTCTGCATGGCATTGTTTTAGCTACCATAATTCAGTATTTTTTTTTTTTGTTAATTATTTTGGTGTCATTGTTGTAACTCTTTTTTTATTTTTGTAAAGCAGGATTATAAACTTGTGTCAGGCGAAAGTAATGTGTATATCGCTGGCTTTAAGTTCCCCTCTCTCGCCCACTTTTCTTATGAAGTATTGTTGTTGTTTGCTTTGCAGAAGTTTTTTGTTTCTTAATGTAGGTGATCCTTCGATACCCTTTAGGTTAAGTTCGCATGCTTTTTTTCTACATGAGTTGTTGCTCGTACTGTGGCCCTGGTTGGCATGTCAAAGAATTTTTTTTTTTTTCAAAAAATGTTTGATATAAAAATATTTTAAAGGTATATGAAGAGTGAAGTCCTTCTTTAGTTTCCTTTATGATCAGGACTTACTTCTTACCTATTATTATTACTTTTAATTTGTTTGAATGCTTCAGTTGGTGAGTTTTTAATTTTTGTTGGCCTATTTATAGGCGTCATAAAATTTCATTTTCCCTTTTTATAGCGCATGCAATTCTCAAATGGTTCTTGATAAAATTGTTTCAGGTTTCAATTGATTTTATTGAAGCAAAAAAATATATATTTTTTTTAATCACCTCGTTAAAAATAATGAACATTTCATTATTGGCCTTTTGGAAAATTATTGTAAATATATTCGCTCATCTCAATTCATAAATTAATCAATTTAAAAATTTTTACATATTTTTTTTTTTTTTTTTTTTCAAAAAATGTTTGATATAAAAATATTTTAAAGGTATATGAAGAGTGAAGTTCTTCTTTAGTTTCCTCTATGATCTGGTCTTACTTCTTACCTAAAACAATTACTTTTAATTTGTTTGAATGCTTCAGTTGGTGGGTTTTTAATTTTCGTTGGCCTATTTTTAGGCGTTATGAAATTTCATTTCCCTTCTTATTGCGCATGCAATTCTCCTATGGCTCTTGGTAAAATTGTTTCAAGTTTCAATTGATTTTATTGAAGCAAAAAATATTTTTTTTAAACAGTGTTTTAAAAACAATAAAAATTTTATAATTGGCCTTTTGAAAAATTATTGTATTATATTCGCTCATCTCAATTCATAAATTTATCAATTTAAAAATTTTTACATATTTTTTTTTTTTTTTTTTTTTTTTTTTTTTTGTTTTTTAATCGATTACTCAAAATGTCGGTAAATCAAAACAACATAATTTTCTTCAAATGAAGCTTTTAAAATTAGTCTTTTGGTAAAAAAAAAAATTATGAAATTAATTTAATTTATTTTTTGAAATTTTTTTGATTATGTTTTTGGCTTCTTTTTGAATTCGTGTAAATATTCCAAAAGTAGATTTATTTTCAAAATTATATGAAAAATTTACATACCCAGTACAGCTACCCATGTGTCGAGCCATTCATATATAAATTTAAACTTACATATTCTAGAGAAAAATTCGCAATTTGTGTTCGAATTCTCGATAATGCTGGAAATGCTCATCTCTATCCCAAACATTATTGATATTCCGAAATTTTTTTCCATCCCAAATAATTTTGGACTTTTAGTTTCTGAATTATCACGAATTTGGTACTTTTAAAACACCGTTAAATAGAAGGTGATCATATCTAAATCGAAAATTATATTTTTTTATTACTTAACATCTGATATTATAAATTTCTTTAATTTTCCCATTCTCTCTTAAACCACTTTTTATGAAAACCTTAATTTACACTGATTTCATATTTAACTAAATTATGCTAATTTAATTTCATTTCCAACTCATACATATTTATTTGATTTAACAAAAAATTGTTTTGAACTTGAAACCTAACCTTAAATAATGGCCAGACACTGCTATGTGACTAATTTAAATAATAATTGTGTATTAATTTGCTTCTATTATACTTGTGATGTCATAAAATATTAATATTAACAAAAAATAATTTATTTAAATGATAATTGATGCATTGCGTATATATGTATGTATATTTTACTTTCATTTTCAATTCTCCACCGTCGGATGAAACTAATGCTAAATTTCTCTCTTCCAACTGAATATTTTTTATTCATTTATTTTAATTTTAAATAAAGTTAGAAGTATTAATTTTTTTATTATTTTTTTTACTTTAATTTTGCTTTTTCATAATATTTTTTTTTAATTTTGAAACTAAATATTTTTCATTACTTTATTTTTTATTTTTATACAATTATTTTATTATATTTATTAATTTAATTCATAATTTTTTATTAATTTAATTTAATTGTGTCAAGAATTAATTCATATTTTTCTGAATTTAATTCCTTCTTTTTTTAATTTTTCCCAATAAATTTTTTTCATTTCTTTTATTAATTAAATGGACATTATATAATTTAATTATAACTGATTTATTTTATTAAATAATTATGCTCTTTTATTAATCTAATAACATTTTTTTTAATTTTAATTTTTTTCTATTATTTTAATTCATAAATTTTTTATTATTTATATAATTTTACCAAAAATTTTATTCATATTGTTTTATGAATTTAATGAACTTTTTTTTATTTTTTTATTTATTTATTTACTTAATCAACTTTTTTCTATTAATTTTCAATTCATGTTTTTTTTATTAATTTATCTAATTTTTTCTATTAAATAATTCATATTTAATTTTTCTTTAATTTTTTAATTATTTTTTTCATTAACTAATTATTTATTATTATTAAGATTAATATTTTTAACCAATTTAATTCATGTTTTTGGTTACCTTAATATTTTTTGTTTTTGATAATTAATTATATTAATTAATTCATATTTAATTTTGGTTTACTTTATTTATTTATTTTTTTTTATAAACTAATTATTTATTATTATTATTATTATATATATTTTTAACCAATTTAAATCATGTTTTTTGGTTACCTTAATATTTTTTTTTTTTTTTTTTGATAATTACTAATTAATTAATTCATATTTAATTTTACTTCACTGTATTTATTTTTTTACAAACTAATTATTTATTATTATTATTATTATATATATTTTTAACCAATTTAAATCATGTTTTTGGTTACCTTAATATTTTTTTTTGATTGATAATTATTATTTTTTATTACCGCAATATATATTTTTTTTTTGGTTTCTTTTAATGTAATTCATATCCTTTAAGAATTTATTAAATTTCTGTATTAATTATTATTGATAGTATGTTTAAATATATATTTTTTTACTCTATTATTTTGTCAATTATTATTGTCTTCGTTCTTTTACTAATTTAATTCATATTTCTTTTTCTAGTAATTTAATTTTTTTAAATTTAATTAATAGTTATATTAAATAAATTAAATTACCTCAATTACCTTTTTTATTCATTTATTTTTTAGTTAATTTAATTCATATAAGTTTTTCTATTTTTTTAATTCTTTTTAAATTTGAATAATTTTTTTATTACTCAATTTTTTTTTAATTTAATTTATAAATCTTTTTATTAATTATTTTATATTAATTTAATAATTTTTTTTATTTATTAATTTTTTATTAATTTAATTATTTTTTGTTTTTAATTTAATTATAATTTGATAATAATTTAATTAATTTCTTATTATTTTAACTAATTTTTCCGCAGTAAAATTCATTTTTTTGTTAATTTAATTCATATACATATATTTTTTTCTATATTCAGAAAATAGTAATATCAAAACTATTTTTTTTTATATATTTAAATTGTTTTACGCACACCTAGCCCCAAATTCTCTGAAAAATGTCTTTAATTTAATTTTTGTTAGACAACTGAAATACTTGTGTCGTCTTTATTATTAATATTATTATTTTTAATAAACCGAAATGGCTTTAACGGTTGCAAAGCACCAATTGTACAATAAAATAATAATAATAATATTTATTTTTTATTTCAAATAATGAATAAATTAATATTTTATTTTCCTATTTATCGTGTTTTCATTTTCATATATAAATATTACCAGCATTTCTCACCTCACATTTCATTAATCACACTCATTACCCACCTATTCTGTTCAGCAAATTGACTCTCTTTTCATATTCTACAATACTTCATATTTACTCACTTAAATAATGTTTATAAAATTTTCTAAATACTCTTTTGACTCAAAATCTTTTTTCAATTGCATTCTCTCAAATTAAATATATATTTCTGCAAGCACAACACATAAGAACACTTCTTCTTTAGCTGTTTATATTAGAAGAGTAGTCTGAAAGTAGTCCGAGTCTCTCTAAGAGTTCTTACAACTTGTGCCGTTATGTTGTTTTTTTACATGTCCTCGTACTTACTAATTATAATAAATACATTTTTGTTAGTACTACATTATTGCATACATACATACATAGCTGTTAGTTAACATATTTTTAATAAATTTACATATATATTTTTTTGTGAATTTTATACTAATTTAATTTTTAACTACTTTTATGCTTTTTTCCAACAATTTTCAACAACACTGCATCCTGTGCTGGCAAATTTAAACCACGCAAACGCACTTTCTGCCACTTCGTCCTCACTTGTGCATTTGCTTTAGGAACCCCAGTTCCGGTTCGTTAGTCATAAGTGAAACAGGATCTCTAGATCGTATGAAAAATGCAGCGGAAAAGCGGAAGAAAGGACCACTAGACGATGGACCACGTGTTTCGGATCGCGTTGAGGAGACGCGCGTGAATCCCAATTCGCTAATTGATGAAATTCTAAAGGATACCAAATTAGATCAGTTAGCCGAATCGGCGGAGAGTGAGTGAAATTGATTGCCTTCGAAATAAATAATTTAATTTTAAATTAATAAAAAAAAAACTTTTTTCTTACAACTCCACACAGCATCTGGCCTGCAATTGTATATTGCACGTGACGGCACCGCATCGTTGGGCAGTCATGAGGTGAAAGCACGCGTGCCAACCGGCGCTTTCAAGCAGGTGGTCATGAAGAATCCAAGATAGTAGCGTAAAACGTAGAATTTTTTTTAGCTAAACAAAAGGGCAGGAGCAAGAAGACTATATACACACACCCACACACACAAACTACTACACGCATTAACTATTACTACAACAAAATAAGAAGAAAAAACCATACGTATTTGCAATATAAGGCAGCAGCAATAATTGTAACAACAACAAAGCAACAATAACAGCAGCAACAACAGTAGTAAACGGAAAATTAATTGAAAACTGACAAACTGCATAAAATATTCTAATGAAAAATAAATAAATAAAATACAAAATAATTAATAAAAAACAAAAATTATTTGTGGACTAAAATAATTAGAAATATAATTAAAAAATAGTACATAATTAGCAGCAGAAAAATCACATGTAAATGCAAATGTCGCTTGTAAGCCAGCAAAGGCAGCAAAATTGAAATAGACAGCACATCGCAATTCAAATGGTATGCGCAAGCAAGTAGCAAACAAGCAGACGAATTAGTAAACTAATTGATTAATTGAAAAATAAAAATCAAACACATAAAAATTGTAAAGAAAAATCAGCACGACAGGCATACAAAACCACACACATCAGTCGACTTAAAACATAAATTATTTTTACTGACTGGAGACCTACTAACACATACCCAAAACACAGGAATTCGAGCTAAAAAATCATTAACAGAAATTCCAAATAATTCATACATCACTTCAAGGCATTGAAATTGTAGTCCAAAAGTCCACCATAGATGTAGAATAGTGCGCTGGGGCCACTTTGCTGATACCAAATTTCCAAAGCAATGGCAGCAAGACTTTTAGACTTCTAACGCAAAAATAGTAGCATATTTGGAGGCGATGGCGGAGAGAAATGAATAAAAAAAAGTAAATTTGACAAATAGAAACCGTTAAGCCAAATAAAGTACCGTTGATTGTTAGCATTTAGCGCAGTTAACGAAGTAACTACCAAATTTTCAGCGTTTTAACGTCAAATTATTCAATAAAATACAAATTTTGTCAGGTGCTGAAATATTTTTCATGCCAATACCCACAAAAGAGTAGTAATTCGCATACTTAATGGCAAGATTTTATTTAATGACCATAATAATAAGCTACAAGAACAACAAGTGTCGTTTAATAAGCTCAATTATAGTCTCACAGACAGATTTCCAAAAATTTTTTAACTGTTTTCAGCATAATTTTGTTCCAAAAAAATGTGCGTTAAGCAAGTTGTCAGCACCAGAGAACATTTCTTTTATACTAGAATTATAAGTTTTCTAAAAATTTTTAAATTTCTTTCAAACAATCTCTACTAGTATAAAGAATAACCGTCCTCTGCTTAGGTCCTAAACAATTGGAAAATTTCTTTCAAACACACAGCATCCGTTTTTGAATCAATTCTTTCTTTATCCTCACAAGTCCCGACGGCTAAGTTAAGCTTAGTTGCTCTGTATTCATAAAATTTTATTTAAAAGAAAAATGTTCTCTACATTAAGCTGATGAGATTAGAAAATGAATTTTACAAAAAATTCATGGTTCATAAATGATTTCGAGCTTTAGAACTCTGTCAAATTAATTTTCTGGTCGAAATTGAAATAAATCACCCATTCTATTAATTTTAAACAACATTAGCTTGTTTTATGAGTCTGTCACAGTGCCTAACTGCGCCGTTTTAAAATTTACCCCGCAAAGATTTTTTCTTTTTTTTCTCAAAAACTTTTTCACAAGAACTCATTGTGTTGTGCTTAGAGGAGACCGCTTTTATATCTCATGGGATAATGAAAATTTATTGAAAGTTACAAGTTTGCAAAAGTAAATAAATTTTTCAGAAAAAAAAACATATACACTTAAAAAATTAAAAAAAAAAACAACAAATTATTTGTTGCAAATTAGCAAAGTTTTGGACAAAAGTGTAGCAAAAAAAGCGTAATTCATAAAAAGTGAAAGTTTTGGAGTAACAAAAATACAGAACTAACTGTGCTTCGAGGCATTCATAAGCAAAAATTAAACAACAACAACTATTTGAAAAAAGTACAACTACTACTAATGCTTAAAAAGTAAGGATTTCTTGTTATTACGCGTGATCGTTAGGATCTCTTTCAAAAGTTGATAGCTTAGGCAAATTCGTGCTAATAAATTTGAATTACAATGCTACATACATACATAGCTGCTGAAATTAGGGAACAAAATTAAAATTTAAGAAATTCATAAATTAAATTAGATATATAAATAAAGCAATTAAAAAGGATAAAATAAAAATAAAAGAAAAAAATTAAAATAAATAATGAAAATTTAAAAATAATCAACGAAATAAAAAATGATCATTAAAATAAAAAAAATCATAACATAAAATAATAAAACCTAATAAAATAAAATAAAATAAAAAAATAAAAATAAAATTTAGAAATTAAAGAATAATAAAAAATAGTCAATGAAATAAATAAATTTATACAAAATAATCAATAAAATAAAAAATGAAATAAATTAAAATAAAATAAAATAAAATAAAATAAAATAAAATAAAATAAAATAAAATAAAATAAAATAAAATAAAATAAAATAAAATAAAATAAAATAAAATAAAATAAAATAAAATAAAATAAAATAAAATAAAATAAAATAAAATAAAATAAAATAAAATAAAATAAAATAAAATAAAATAAAATAAAATAAAATAAAATAAAATAAAATAAAATAAAATAAAATAAAATAAAATAAAATAAAATAAAATAAAATAAAATAAAATAAAATAAAATAAAATAAAATAAAATAAAATAAAATAAAATAAAATAAAATAAAATAAAATAAAATAAAATAAAATAAAATAAAATAAAATAAAATAAAATAAAATAAAATAAAATAAAATAAAATAAAATAAAATAAAATAAAATAAAATAAAATAAAATAAAATAAAATAAAATAAAATAAAATAAAATAAAATAAAATAAAATAAAATAAAATAAAATAAAATAAAATAAAATAAAATAAAATAAAATAAAATAAAATAAAATAAAATAAAATAAAATAAAATAAAATAAAATAAAATAAAATAAAATAAAATAAAATAAAATAAAATAAAATAAAATAAAATAAAATAAAATAAAATAAAATAAAATAAAATAAAATAAAATAAAATAAAATAAAATAAAATAAAATAAAATAAAATAAAATAAAATAAAATAAAATAAAATAAAATAAAATAAAATAAAATAAAATAAAATAAAATAAAATAAAATAAAATAAAATAAAATAAAATAAAATAAAATAAAATAAAATAAAATAAAATAAAATAAAATAAAATAAAATAAAATAAAATAAAATAAAATAAAATAAAATAAAATAAAATAAAATAAAATAAAATAAAATAAAATAAAATAAAATAAAATAAAATAAAATAAAATAAAATAAAATAAAATAAAATAAAATAAAATAAAATAAAATAAAATAAAATAAAATAAAATAAAATAAAATAAAATAAAATAAAATAAAATAAAATAAAATAAAATAAAATAAAATAAAATAAAATAAAATAAAATAAAATAAAATAAAATAAAATAAAATAAAATAAAATAAAATAAAATAAAATAAAATAAAATAAAATAAAATAAAATAAAATAAAATAAAATAAAATAAAATAAAATAAAATAAAATAANTTTTTTTTTTTTTTTTTTTTTTTTTTTTTTTTTTTTTTTTTTTTTTTTTTTTTTTTTATTTGCAAATATTTGCTAGACGGACAATTTGATGTGTGTGTGTCATTTTTTATACAAATTTTAAATTTCAAAAATTAGTAGGGAATATTTAATATATTTCATATTTGTTTCCTTATGCTGTAGTTTATACTTTTTGCATATTTTTACGTTCAATGAGTTAGTCCATACTTTCTACATTTTCAAATAATTATTTTTTATTATTTTTTACAAATCACAATAGTTTTTAAACACACATTTGTGCAGCTGTATTTCTTAGCATAGCATATAATTTCTTCAACAGTTTCTTGTTAGACACAAAATATATTTTTTTTTTCGCATTTTACTCCAACTTCCAAACTCTTCCATACGCCATATAGACAAAAAAAAAAAAAACATCCATACAAGCGCGTAAACTATTTGTGTAATTACTACTTGTACTACTTCTTGTTGCGATTGAACTTTATGTATTTACCTATAAATATAAATATGTATACTAAAGCATACAAAGTACTATATATATATATATATATATAATTATATTATGTATGTATTTCATATGTTGAGCTAAATGATTAAAGTATATGTATGTATATTAAAAACACATGCATATATACATATGTAATAATCCTGCCTAATTCTGATAAACAAAATACACAAATTTATTAACAAAAATATTTATATATATACATACATACATATGTGCGTGTTTAACTGTGTAAATTAATATAATATATTTGTTTTTGAGTTAAAAATTCTGCGCTTCAATAATAGTAAACTAAACTAAATTTAACTATACATACAAACATTGAAAGCTACAAATGCGTGTAAGCAAATAAATTGAATTAAAAAATAATAATAATTAATTAATTATAAAAGAGTAATGTAAGTAAGCCCAAATAAATATCAATTATTAAAATTATTTAGTTTTTAGCTGTAGTTAGCCTTTTAAAATATAAATATAATAATTACATAAATATATATATAATATATATATATATATATATATAATAAATATAATTACTATTAATTATTATATCCACAATGCATAAATAAATAAAATTGGCAAAAATTGTAAGATGAAAAATTTATTTGCAATTAATTAGTATAAAAACAAAAACAAACAAACTAAATTCAAATAATTAATTTTTTTTTTATTAAATAACATTTTTCAAATATTGTTTAATGCAAAAACAAATTTTCAAAGAATCGTATGTATAAAAAAAATTAATGCTGAAATAAATTAATTTATGCATACATACAAACAGGCTGGTTGAAGAACTACACAGTCGTTTTTCCTATATTTTGCTTGAAATTTTCAAACTCCATACTAATCACATACATATAAAACGAAAGCATCACTACTTAACATCATTTCGTCATCATCTCATTGCACTTTGTCTAATTTCACTTGAGTCAATGCTTTATACGTCTTTTTTTTAATTAGTCTACCAATTAATTGTTTTAAGTTAAGCAAATAAAAAATGTGTTTTACGTTTTATTGCATATTTACATACATATTTATGTACACACATGTGTACATAGAAAATTTTGAATACATAAATTTATTTCCTACACATTCGATACAGTATTTTATGTAAAGCAGCTGTTAAATTGTGGTCATTTGTAGGTAGGTAAGTAACTGTTGTTACATTGCTGGGAGTCCTTTATATCAGTTTTCTATTCACTTTTATGTTTAAGCACTCAGAATTCATTTTAGAACGCTTGCTTGCTGAGTATAATGACAACAGAATCGACTTCAGGCGAACGATTGATCTTTTTTATAAAAAAATGTATTTAAATGCAAAATAAAAATATCAAAATACACAAAATTAAGCAAAGTAGAATTTAAAATTAATGATCAAAAATAAAATAGTTGTTTAAAAAAATGAATAAAAATAATTGTTCGAAAAAAAAAATAAAATAAAAAATTTAATTAAAATAATTAATAAAAATAATTGTTCAAAAAATAAAAATAAAATAAAAAATTTAATTCAAATGATTAATAAAAATGAAATAAAAAAAAAAAAAATAAAAAATAAAAATTTAATAATAAATAAAAATTATTGTTCCAAAAAAATTAAAATAAAAAATTTAATTAAATTAATTAATAAGAATAAAATTAAAAATAAAAATAATTGTTCGAAAAAAAAAATAAAATAAAAAATTTAATTAAGAAATTAATAAAAATAAAATAAAAAATAAAAATAATTGTTCAAAAAAAAAATTATAAAATTTAATTCAAATGATTAATAAAAGTGAAATAAAAAATAAAAATAAAATATAAAATAAAAATTAAATAATAAATAAAAATAATTGTTCGAAAAAAATAAAATAAAAAATTTAACTAAATTATTTAATAAAAATAAAATAAAAAATAAAAATGATTGTTCGAAAAAAAAAATAAAATAAAAAATTTAATTCAAATGATTAATAAAAATGAAAGAAAAAAAAATAAAGTAAAAAATAAAAATAAAATAAAATATAACTAAAATAAACCAATAAAAAAATAAAAATAAAGTAAAATAAACCAATAAAAAGTAAAATGGCAAGAAAATAAAATGAAAATAAAATAAAAAAATTTAATAAAGTAAAAATCAAAAATATTACAGATCATTTAAAAAAATGAAAATAAATAAATGCAAAAACTAATTAAATTAATATAAATAGTTAAATAAAAAATTATCAAATCATTTTAACTTAAGCTAATAGAAATAAAATACAAAATAAAAATAAAAATGAAATAAAGAAATAAAAATAAAGTAAAATAAACCAATAAAAAGTAAAATGAAATATAAAAGCAAAATAAATAATATTGCCATTTTAATAAAATAATATAAAAAAAAAACAAAATAAAATAATAAAATAAAATGAAAATAAAATAAAAAAATTTAATAAAGTAAATTTCAAAAATATTACAAATTATTACAAATCATTTAAAAAAATTAAAATAAATGAATGCAAAAATTAATTAAAATTAATAGTTAAATAAAAAATGATGAAATCAATAGAAATAAAATAAAATACAAAATAAAGAATAAAAATTAAATCGATAAAAAAATTTTATGAAAATAAAATATAAAATTTAATGAAAAATAATCACAGCGAAAAAACATTAAAAGAAATATAAATAAAAAATATAATAAAATAATGAAAAAAATAGAGAAAAGTAAAATAAATTTAATTGAATTAAAAATTAAAATAAGAGATAAAGAAAAATAAATTGAAACGTAGTAAAATAAATAAAAAATAAATATTGTATAATCAATTTATTTGAGGTTCAATAAAATAAAGCTAAATCAGAAATGCAATTAAATAAAAAAATTAAATTTAGTTAAAATGAAATAAAATTACTTCGAAAAAATTGGTATATTTACATTTAAATAAAATCAAATGGGAATAAAACATTATATTGACTTATTAAAGTTATTTTTGCGAAAAAAAAGAAAGAATTTAAAAGTAATATAATTAACGTTTTAATGAAACCTAAATTTAATTAAGTAATTTAATTTATATTTGTGCATTTCCATGTAAATTAATTCTTTTGTGAAGTTATAAGACGGTTAAAAGCCAAAAAAGATCAATTTGGAAAAAAAGAGTTAACAATTAAAAATTTTATTTTGCTCACACAAAACAACGGAACTCATATTTTGTCTTTGTTCAAAAAGATTATGCATTAATTAATTTATTTTGAGTCTTAAAAAATTATTCATTGATTAATTAATTGAAATATAATTTTAAAACACTATAAAATAAATTTAAATGCATTTAAATAATTTTGTTTAATTTTTGTATATTGATTATATTCAGTATTTATTCAATTAATTATTTTTATTTTATTAAATTAATAAATTATAATTGAAAAAAAAATGTATATAAACATATATTATTCAGTTCATTGCATTAATTTTGCGGCAAAAAATCCTTTTATTTTTATTTTTTAATTAAATTAATTAATTATATTAAACAAAAATTATTTATTCCATTATAATTGAGAAATTAATTAAATTTATTTTATTTAATTAAATTAATCATTTATAAATCAATTAATTCTCGTTAATGCGCATCTCTAACTAATCTTCACCCATACTTTTGACCACAACTCAAGCACCTGCCTTACACCTCCCGCTGATAAATAAAAAAATATTTCCATGGCTACACATACATACATATATGTACATATGTTTTAAAATATATAAAAAAAAAATTATTGCCAACTGCTGACACAAAAATGTGAATGTGAATTTATATTTAATATACAAATGTACTAAATATTTGTTTGTGTGAAAATAAAATAATACACAATAATAGTAATAATAATAATAATAATATTGGTTAATTTAAAAACAATAATTATGTAAAAATATAATTATTTAATTAATTAATTAGCCACAGAAAGATACAAGAATGTAATTATTTAACTGATAAATAAATAGTTATAAAATATTTTCGTCGTGTATAAATTGATAATAATAATATTCTTAAAAAAAAGAGCGAAAAATCTATATTGTAATTATTAAAAAATATTAATAATTATAATAAAATAAAAAATTGTGATTTGAGATGCGTTTAAATAAGACGATTATGGTGTTTCTTTTTATTGTTTTTTATTTAATTTTTTTTTATAATGAAGAAGAAGGAAGAAGAAGAAGACAGGTCGAAATCGAAATCGAATTCGCTATCAAAAAACGGCGAAACATTCGTTTTAGCTCCGCCAAATCGCTCTCCTCTCCAGTTGTATACCACCCAGCTGTTATATGTATCGTGCGGAGTCGTAGAGAGAGTCGGTATGTGATTTTCGCAGAGATAATTGCCACTGATGATGGTATGAAAGGAAACGCTCCGGCTTTTGTTAGCAAGTCAAGAAAGAAAAGGGAGATTTACTCTGTGTATGAGGCATTTGAGAGCAACTTGACCTCATTGTGAGTATGGAGAGAGTAGGGAAAGGAGCTCGAGCGGCCTGATTTGTGGAGAGCTCCCTCTGACTACGCCGCTGATGGAAACAAATGTAGAACGACATTTCTTACAAATTCTTATTTCAAGGAGCTCTTGTATGAATGGAGCCAGTTGAGAAAGAAGTTTTAATCTCCTGACTTGTCTCTTTCTCGCTTTCGAAACAGAGACTGCACTACCAAACTGTGAACTCCTAACGATGGATGTTGCTGTGAAAATCAGCATTGGATTATGCAGCCTAGTCTAGATCATTCGAGTAAGGAATACCTTAAAACAATTGGGCAGCTTAGACACAGCTCTTATGACCAAGCTCACCTTACGGTCTACAGCCTTGGTAATTTAGCAGTTGGAGTGATGAAAGATTAGTTAAAAGTCATGAAAGAAGGAATCCTTGGGCGTGGGTAGGATTATTCACATATACTTTTCCGCTGAATGTATAGTTAGGAGCCTTGAATTGAGATCCTCAAGCTCGTCAGGCTGTGATTGTAGTGGAGACTGTCTTGCGCATAATATATTAAATACCTAACTCCATCATTTCTCTATCATTTTGCACAGCTTTTGTTATATTCAGAGAGACTCACACGCGCTACCCAGCACACTTCAAGGAGTATTAGCTCAAAGTACTTTACAGTGACACTCTTGAAAGCTTACTCGTTTCACCTGAATGAGTAAAGGACGCCGAAGGGGCAACGCCCTAGATCAGATAGAAAAATCCTTTCACCTACAATATATAGAGCTGGCGTTGCATTAAGAGATCCATCTCCAGGTGCATGTATACAGGTACTAATTACAGCGAGACATAGCTGAACCGTTAGATAAACTATCACGGAAAGTCGACCAAGACTACCATTGAGGCAGCTCGAGCTGTTTTGAAACCGAATAACCCTGCAGCATTTGAGTAGACAAAGCTGGTACTTACGCAGATTTGAACCAGAGCACAATCTGTGTTCTGCGTATCCTGTTAAGTGAACTCGTCTTACATTCTTCTCCCCTTGGCTTGAACCCTCCTCTTCGTACTTAACCTGTTATCATCCCTAGTAAATTCAACACAGGAAACATTTTTGTTTTTAAAGTGAACATTTATTTCCATCAACAAAGTTTATCCTTTACGAAACGCAAATACGTACCACCATCCGCCGTCAAAACGAAAGCTTTCGCATCAAACTTCATCTCGGGCAATGTTAACGCACAGGGCTCCACGCGATAGTTCTTCAAGATATGTATGAGACCCGTCTTAACTTCCAGCAGACCTAGTAAGGTGCCAATACAGCCACGCGGACCGGCGCCAAAAGGCAAATAGCTCATGGGAGTATGCAGTTTACGATTTTCGGGCGAAAATCGCTCCGGATCGAACACGAGTGGCTGTGGCCAAAACTATGAATAGAGGAAATTGTGCAGTGAGCATAAAAAAATAAAATGCAGACAAAAAAAACCTACACGCGCATCGCGATGTAAACCAAGCACCGATATGTAGACCGGCATGCCCTGTGGCACGCGGAAGTCAACACCATTGGTCTGCGCCAATGAGTAACCCTGCGCAGCCGTGCAACGCCGATCGAGAAAGGAAGTAGGCGGATACAAACGCAACACCTCATCCACTACCATACGCATGTATGGCAGTTCATTGCAGATTGCCTCATAGTTCAGTGCGCCACCACCTTTGAGTAGCAAGAAAGCGGCTTGTGCGACAAAGAAGTCCGGTTGGCGCAACACCTCAGCCCGCGCGCCTGATGCCGTTTGCTGCTTTAAGCTGATAAAGATGTCTATGAGGTCGTTGCGCTGCGCGCCACTGCGCAAACGCTCCGCAATCGCATATTCTGTAGAGGCGCGCATGAATTTCTCATATTCCGCGGAGTAGAGATGCGTACGAATGAGTTCAGCACGTTGTGGAAAAAAGAACATCGTGAAGAGATGGAAGACGCGCTTAAAACGCGGCTCATTCACCTCCTTGCACATGCGTCGGAACTCCGCTTGTGGATTGGCCAAGCTGTTTGCCTCAATGCCGAAAGCGATGGATGCTATAATGTCGGTAGTGTGGAGCGCGCACAGCTCTTTCACCTCAATGATTACAGAGTCATCTTCGGCGTACTTCAAGGCAGCCATATGCGCCTCCAACTTGCAGCCGACCTTAGTGGGGAAAAAGCATTAGTTCTATAACAAGAAAACACTCGCACCACCACAACTCACCTCCTCCAACAGCGGATACATTTGCTTCACTTTGCCATGCGCAAATAGTGGCGAGAAAATTTGATGTATCTCCTTCCACACCTCATACTGTGCAAAGAATAAATTCAACGAGCCCATGCCGTCGCGCACCGGATCGGTGCGTTCGAAGCGGCTCGCGAATGCGCTGAAGTCGCTCACCAGCACACGTTGAATCAGCGCGGGCTCGCGCAGCAACAACGCGTGATTGTGCAGCACATGTATGCCGACAAAGTCTTCGCTGCGACTGGCAGCATGATTGTAGAGTCGCTCGAATTGTTCGCCAAAGCAGCAACGGTAACGGAGTAAATCGAAAATATTTCCCACCAGCAGTGTGGGCGGTACATGCGGCACGTCTCGGTCTTGCCAATAGCGAAAATGCCGACGAAGCCAAAGGTACGCGGCGCCAAGTAGGACGAGCACCACCGCTAGGAGCACACTCAACATTGTCAGACTTAAATTTTTCTCATTAACTTACGTTTTTATTTCAATATTTTTCTTTAAACCACAATGTGGCGCTTGCACTTTGTAACTGAGTAACTAATCGCTCTAGGGCTGATAATAAATACGAGTATGTAATCAATCGGTTACATTGTATTAATTATGATTGTAATGCCATTTGAGGTTGATAAGAGAAACTAATTTTTTGGAAGCTTAATTACGTTGAGAGAATTACACCACGTGTTTATTACAAAGAGTGCCATAAAAAGTTCGCAAACGAAAGCTCAACACATTTCAAAGCATACCAGAAAGCTTTCAACCCATAGTTACACTGGTGGCCAAGAAAATTTGTTACAAAATTACTTTTAGATTGATTTTAATTTTAATATCTCCCTGAGACGTTAGCGCCGTGGCGGAGCCTTTTGTTGTTGTTGTTGTAACCGCAAAATTATTCCCCAAAGTACTTTTTGGGGAATGTTGCGGGAGTGACAGTCCTTGGCCGGATAAAAATCCGGGTCGTTCCGGTATAAAGACCCGACTGTCGCGGGAACTATTGGATTTTAGTCTCCTCTTACGACAGGCATGCCTTACCGCGGGTAAATTCTTGAGCCCCTAACCCGCAGGGGTGGGGAGCCTTTTACTGTCGATCTCCTCAATTACCACTTGATCTCTACTTGAATTACTATCAATTTGGAGCGTGAACATAAGCTTCGGGGGAGCAGGGTAGGCTGCATACGGACCCAACTCTTAATCGCACTAAGTAAATGGAAGCTTAGTGTCCTCGTGGGTTACAGAAGGGATTTCAGCCGCAGAACTCGCACAAAAGAATAAGCCAGCCGTATGACGTTTGCGAGTATCCGACCCTGAGCTGTTTATGGAGCCGAGTTGATTAGTCGATAACACATATTTGGGGTAAATCGAATAAGCCTACCGAGTGACTATTGTGCGGTTTAAGAGCAGGCAAATTCAATCCAAGTTGTCGAAGTCATCTAAAGGAAGGTTGAGATAACCGCTGTTTCAAGGGTGCGGATGAGAGTAAGTTGGGTTTTAGAAGACATGCAAAGTGGTGCTTAGTGCCTTGTGTGGACATGCGTCGGGCATGTCGGAGTCAAGTGTAGACAAGAATTTCCAGGCTTTAACTGTGATAGTATTACTTGAATCTCTCGTAGCAGCCCGACCTTTGCAATAGGTGGTGGTAGGATTCTGAGGACACAATTTACGAACACCTAGAGTCACTTTATATTCTCTCCGATAGCTGCGTGCCGTCAACTCCTCAATTCTCTTTCAAAGAGTAAAAGAAGAATGTAACCAAAGTTGTTATGACGACCTCTGTTTGGAAAATTAACTTTATATATAAGAGGATCTTTAGCTTTAACCTATGGCGCGACTTTCTTTTAACTCTTCAGAGTAACATATAAGAGGTTTCGCTACTTGTTAACTTCGTATCAGCTGCATATACCGTTTGCCTCTCCATATGATCTCTCTAGTAGTGTAAAAGCTTTAAAGTTTACCTGTCACGACTAAAAAATCAGAATGCTTCCGTACAATCGGATCAAAAAGTCTTAAAAAATTACAGCGAGCTTTCCGGGACGGCTTAAAACTTCGCGTCCCTCTATTTTTTGAACACACACATGACTATGGAGGAGTAGCTCGGTCGAAAGTTACTATATTGTACGGAGAGTACCATAAACCTCTTGAAAACCCGCGCTCTCGAAGTCAGCAATGAGAGCAAGAAAAACAGCTCGAGATTCAAACATCTTTTAACTGAAATTGCTACATCACTGAGGGCCACAGGTTCAAAATCCCAAAGGAATGTGGCTTAAAATTATAGATTTTATCTGTTGCAATGTTTCTCAAGGGACCTGGTTAATTACCAGAAAGCTTCTCGCTTTCAAAAGCTGTATCGACACAAGCCAAGCTGCATTCAATGTCAGATTCCGTCCTTGGCACAGCATACGAACCGCCTCGACGTGTTCGGACCAAAGTTAGAGGGGAGGCTACTAGATGAGCTGGTTTTAGGGATACATACAAGGAGGTGGGTTATGCCGTGCGAGAGTTTGTAATTGAGGACGAGGACTGCAGATATTAGAGTATCAAAGTGTTTAGGACACCATGAATCTTATTAAGATCTGGACCTAAAAACTCCAGGTCAGGCTAGTTTTCAGTAAGAACCGATGGCGAGACATCGATTTCATGTCCAATCGGTCTAAATCCAAATACTTCTGGCTCGTTTTGTGGGTAGAGAGGCGTAGCTCAGTTTCATAACTTCACGCCACCCTTCAACCTCTTCCACTTAACATCCATCAGGGAAGTTCTTCGCCGTGCGCTGCGCTACACATGCCTTGATGCCGCAGGACGCGGCAACTTGCCAGCAGATAAACACTATACCAATTGAAGAAACGCAGGGAAATGAAATAAATTTCACAAAAAATCAAATTTTTAACCGAAATTTTTCTGTTTTTAAACAGTTTAAAAATTTTCGTCCAACAAAAAAGGCCAAATTTAAGTTTTTGTTTGCAATTTATTCGTATTTTTTGTTTTCAAAAGCAATTTCCCAACTAGATTGTAAGTTAAATGAAAATTTACTAAAATGAAATTCATCTAACTGCGCTCCCCTTACAGCTTTAAGAAAAAAGACTCATCTCAAGATGTGCTCTCCTTGCTGTTATCCATATTCCTGCTGCCCGCCTCGTTGTGGGCCAAGCCGTTCATGCGGACCCTGCGGTCCGTGCCCGCCCTGCAGGCCATGCGTGCCTTGTGGACCGAGCGGTTCATACGGCTCGTGTTTGGATTGTCGTAAGCCCTGTGGCGAATCGTATATTTGCCGACCCACATGCTGTTTCTACTTCGGTTGAGTTCGAGCCTGAGGGAGTGTTTTGAGGGAGTTTTGCGAAAGTGTGTTTGCTAGCCACTTGGCGGCGGTGCGTCTATTGTTGGTGCCTGCAAGCAGTTAACGCAGCAAACACTGAAGATTTGTGGAAATCTGCGAGAGATCTGAATGTTTTTTTCCATTCACCGTGCAAACAAGAACAAGAAAACACATTTGTATATATTATATTTATTGTACAAAATGGAGTTTAAGTGTTTGAAGACACGTACCAAACTTGGCCAATAAATTACGCAGTAGATCACATTGTGACTTTAAAGGGAGTTTTTTTTTTTTTTGTTTCCGCTGGTGAGTTGTTGCGTCGCACTGAGAGTTAAGAAGAGCGGCTGCTTTGAGCTTGAACTCCAGCCGTTGTAGTCTGATGGGTACTGCACCTCAGTAGGCCTCGTGAGGGTGGATTAACTTAATGCTCTATCAGCTCACTTCGCTTTTACCCATCTCATCACTTGAATCCTGCAGTCGGTGCCGGAAAGCAGAGCTAAACCACAAGCAACTCGGTCGTTATGGGAGTTTACCTTAAATTCTTGAGGAGCAGTATACACCCGATATGCCACTACGATGCGCGCTTTATCGAGAAGAATCTACTTGATGGTCCCTTACATAGTTCATTAACCTGCGGTGGAATGTGGCAGTCTAAACCAATTTAGAAGTTCTACGTAAGCGACCCAAACAGGCAGAAATTTCCGCCACAAACAACCTTTAAAGAGCAGTCTTCACTAAATATTATTGAGTGACGGCGATTAGTTTTGTCTCAAAGTCTATTTATCAAGTCATTTTCTGCTCTAAATGAAAGCTGTCCTTACCCCAGAGAGATGGAGTTATGAATTCTGGGATGAAGGCTCTTAACAAAGCTCTCAAGCATGTATAGAGACCAATAGATGACTTCTCGTGACTGTGAATAATTTATTCTGTCCAGCTCACTTTTGTTGTCTACGATCACTCCTAGCTCTGAGACTCTGCCACTATACCGATCTGTTCCTGTTAAAAGTGAGCTTATTGTGAGCTTACAGAGCAGTTCGGGCAAAGCATCGCCCTGCGGATCACCTCTTATTATCTGGCCATCTAGATATTTAACTCGCTTCCAGGTGCGCATTCATTTTGAGTTGGCATAGAGTAAGAAGATGATCTAGCGGTGATACGAAGAGGAACGAGCTGAACAGACTCATAGAAAAATGATATACATTATTGTTGGACAGACGAGAGGTAGTTAGGGAGGTGCATAAATATCTGACGGCTCCCGTGATTAATCCAACTGAGCCTTGATCTCTACTTAGGTCCCATTAATTGTGAAATGTCAAAGCCTTAAGGCCATTTTGGAGCGACTTGACCCAAGAAAATATACTTTTTCTTAGCGCTCCAACCCATACATGACTATTTGTTGCTCCATGTTTCTTCGAGAGATGATAAAAATACGCATCTTTTTCTTCAGACTTTATGGGTACTCGGTCTCATGAGAATTACTAGAGACTTCCACCTCAGCTAAGGACGTCTTTGGCACCATGCGGCCTACTTAAAGAGGATAAGATCACAGGGTGAACTTTTAGTTAGAGCGTAGATGAGCTAAGCTTTAAGAATAAGTCGATACAATGTAGAAAGTGGTAGTTGAAGCAGTCTCATGGTGCACAAAAAGTCGCATTCCTAGCTTACGGTGTCAGCTCCGACTGATGACTGCCTGTTTGGTTTGAGAAAATCAGAGCTGATTACTGTTGCGCTAAGAGTACTTAGAGACTAAGAGAATTTGATACTTACTCCGTCACCCGAGCCGGCGCTTCGGTGCTAAGGGCTTGTGTAGGGTCGCAAAACTTCTACTTAGTAAACTATCCATTGAGAGTGAGATGTTCCAGACTAGGACAGCTAGTTCGATGTGAGGCAACGGACTCGGACGTGAAAGAAGCGCGTCCAAAACCAGTACGAACCCTGGGAAATAATATCCAGCTTATTTAGATTTTTGAGAATTTTGCACATTTAATGGAAGTTTATTTACAAAATCTCAAATATCAAAAATAAAATTTTTTTGTGTGCGAAAATGTGTTTGATCCAAGGGGTTGATCAAAAGTTTTTTCTTGTTTTCGTTCTTTAACACTTTTTAAAATTTTAACACATGAAACTTGATGTACGTTCAATTCACCCAATTCAATGCACAGTTCGACAAGATCCGACACGATCTCTTCCTAAGTTTCCCAACAGACAGCATTTTTTTTGGCTTACACTCGGAGGCTCCATTGCTTCATTAACAGCAACGCCGTCCGTAACACGAACGACCGCATGGCATACACGAACTGCCACACGGCTGACACGAACCCCATGGTGCACCGTATGGCGTACATGGACCCAAAGCTCCGCATGGTCCTATACAACCCCACGGCCCGAAGGGACCGTAAGGACCACAGGGAGTTGGTCGATAGCACCAGCAAGGGCACTGCATTAGATGACTTGCAGAGGCTGCGAGAAGAGCAAGAAATGTAGTTATAAGCATGGAAAGCTGTGGAGCTCTTGGTGCTACTTACATTTTTAGTTAACGTAGAAATTTTTAAGTCGCAAGTTTCTGCGCTCAAAAAATTTGTGTGTGGTGTTTACGTTTAGAAATTTTGAAAACTTTTGATGTGAAATTTATGTTTGTGTGAGAAATCATTTTCGAAAGCTGCTTAGATTATTACCCTTCTCTTTCTGCCGCCCTCAAGAGAGTACTAAAGTCTTTTTTCAAGATATTTTTTTTTTTCGAAAAATCTGTTTAATCTTTTTTTATTAAATCTTCATACAAAATATCAAATGCACAAAATAGGACACATGGCTGTGTAGTAGACGCCTGCCGTAAAATCCGTCCTTCCGCAACTCATACGTCCACGGTTCGCGCCTTGCTTTGCCGTACTTTCCACATCTGAAATTCGAGTTTCCACGCAAAACGTCGCTTAACCCATCTTCCACCTCACGGTTGTCGCACACATTATCAGCCGCATTCCTTAGCTCCCCCAAAGTCGCCAATTACCAATCAGTACTTTGGTTTCAGATAACGACATGGATTCGGACACTTGGAGCATGGACAACCGAACTTGCAACAACATGGATATGGACTGCAGCAAGGCCCACACGTGCCGCAAGGTCCACACGGACCGCGTGTTATACATGGTCCACAGCAGGGTCCGCATGGTCCGCATGGTACACACGGTGAGCAGGCGCCGCACGGCGCGCATGAACAGGGCGCACAAGGACCACATGGTCCACAAGGTTGACAAGGTCCACCCGGACGACATGGCCCGCATGGACCACAGGGACCGCAAGGTCCCGTCGGGCAACCATAAGAGCCGCAGCAGCCGCAACAGGGAAATGACATTTTGAGTTAGTCAAGTTTCAAAGTGTCTGTAGGAGAAATGTAGAGTTTAACTCGTTCCTGCTGGTTCACAGTTAATGGCAAATGTAAAATCACATACCTGTTGGTTTGAAGAAAAATAACTGTAATTACAGGTGAATTTTGTTGTTTATAAAAAGCCGAAAAGTTTTTGAATGATTTATTTTTGTTTGTTTTTTTTCTGTTGGAAAAATAAATGAAGGATTTAAAATTTTTCTCAACGAATACTCGTGTTTAAGTTTAGCACAAGTTGATACCCAAGCCACTATGGTATAGTGAAACTTTCCTATCTTACCTCGCCTCAGTGGAAGACTGTTTAAGTTGCGCTCTCCTTTCGGAGAGTCAGTCGATTAAGGTAGCATAGTGTGGGGTCTTAAGTATCCGATACAGAAATTCTACTGAATAAGTTCTTTTAAAGGACGCTCTTTCAGCCTAAGGCTCGCACTAACCTAGAAAACTGTAGAATTATAGTGGGAATTTTCTCTTTCTTCCTGGTCTAAGCCGGTTTGTACTAGCTTTCCTTATTTCTAATAATGAAAGTGGGCACCGCTTACGATTTTAACCCAATCTATTGTACAATGGCATGTCATTCGTTTCTTTCCTTAGTCGTTTGGTGCAAATTTAAGACACCAAGTAAAACTGAATTCTACCCCTCCTGATCTTTACACCGCAGTGAAGGTCCTCCTTTTCGCTGTATACTTGCGTCTAAAAGCGGGAAAGTTTCAGGGAAGTCAGTGCAGCGTCTGTTCACCAGAGATTCGGCTGCGTATTTCTGAAAGTGTGAAGGTAAAATTAAGGAGAGACTCTCTGTCAGTACGAGTACTAGCTTAGGTTACATTGGAGTGAATCCATTAAGTTACAATAGCTTATATCTTGAGATCCTTCCTGGCCAGAGCCAAAGCTGAAATTTAAACCAATGAAGAGCTCGTAAGTCTAAGGGCAACAATTGAGATGTTCTGTTTTGAGTTAACTTTCGCGAGTAATATCTCTCTATACAGCATTTGCGGGTGGAAAGCGACATGTAAAGTCCTTCATAACTCATCCGTCACCTAATTACCAAGAATGTTTACGCCTACCGTTCTCAAACAAGATTCGGGTTTACCTGCTCAGTCAACAAGTGAGAGTATCTGGGAAAATTCTTTATTGCTACAGATTCCACGGCACTCGGTGCTGCCTGACTCTTAATAGCTGATTTATTTTAAGAGAAAAAGTCATATATATATATACATAGTCTTCCCTTCCAAGGGACAACTGCAATTTCTGATCACTTCGAATGTTGCTCGGATGAGGGCGCGTGGTATTAAAACAGCTAACCACTCGGGCAATATGAGCACCGATGTACAAGTCTACACTATTAGATTATATTGAAGTATCCACCTTGTAACCTCTCGTGGGGTCAATGATGGCAGACGGAAAAATGGCAGCGAGGCTTACCAGTTTTCACTCAGTCGCCTTCTGCAGAAGGTGAGAAATTATCACATTTGTCATGTCTGTGGTTGACTGGTTGAAAGGCCAGCTCTAAGTTCGGACCGCAACCGACTGCACCTTCAGTGAGTTAGGTTCTCCATTGCAGACTTTACAGCCAAAGTTTTGAATGTCTTTTATACAAAGTACGAGTACGTCCGAAGGCTCTTGAACTGACTATTGGGATACCTGGGAGCTTAGAGGTGCTTTATGCGTCAAGCTCAGAACGAAGTAAGTGAAAGGCAGCTGACTTCTTTAACCATAAATCCAAGGCGCCTCGAAGAGGTAAAGCGCCTATCAAAGTTCTACTCTTCCTGCGTACGAAATTAAGAACTCCTATTCTGATAACTTGAGCTTGGGTTTATTGAAACAATACAAATATACCGCTATAATTCATTTTAACAGTGTTAACACCACCACCAATGAAAGTGTTTACAGGATCTAGTGCTGTTGAGATCGACCTGAAACATCTCAAGCAGTCTTTTGTGCCACAAAGAGCAGGGTGCATTCCACGTTGTTTGCTAAGCGCACGAGCTCCCAACTGCGCAGGATGCTCCAGATGAGGATAAATACTTGTTGCTCTACGCCTCCTAGTAAACGACCAATTGTATGACACCACTTTTGACCGTTTTACTTGTATCCAAGATACAAGATGGAATAATCATCAGTTTCATTGGGGTTTTCAAGTCCTCAGCGGAGTCCGCTCTGAAGCTGTAATTGGTTGAAGAGGAAGCATAATTTACCAAAACCCCATATGGACAAGCAGCTTACGCACATTACGGACTGCTTCGAGTCGGCTGGCAAGATCATGATTTTTGGTGGCATTGTTTGCCGCGAACTCACCACTTGCGTTGAGCTGCGGTGGAAGAGTAAGAAGAAGTGAATTGAAAAACAGATGAATTGAAAAATATTCTCATTCAACTCACTCCCAACTCACATTAGCGGTATATGACATTCGGATTTGATGACTAGTAATTTGGTAGCTCTTTGCATTTCGTTCTCATAGATTATTTGTGCATTCCTCAAACGTTTTGTTAGTCACGCCCAGCGCTGTTGTTGTTGCGTCCAATAAAATTGCGAATCGCTGCCGTACGTGTGTTGAGGCCCAGACCAGGACGTTGTATCTGGCTTTGGACCTTGTGGTGGGCATGTACGACTGCACACACCGTTAGGACAACATGCACCACAATAGCCATTCGTGCAAGCGGAAGCATTCGTGCCATATTTAGCGTTGCTGTTCGAGCTGTTCGAGCTGTAGCAGCGATCGCACATTCTTCAAGTGGGCGGTTTCGAAACGAGAGAACTGGAGCTGGAAGGAATTGGCGTTATGTTTTCTTTTATTGCAAAAAAAAAGAAGGTAGAAAAATATTTTACTCACGAATTTATTTTTTTTTTTACCGAAATTTGTTGGAGCTTTTTTGTTCTTGTTGGACGAAAATTTCAATGAATGTTTGATGAAATATTTTTTCATTTTCGGATTGTAAAGCAAAGTGGATTTGTACAAAATTTCACAAAGTTAAAAGCCCTTTGCGGGCCCAAAAACCTGGATCCACCTCGCAATCTCTGGCGCAGGTGAAACAGCTTATTTAACTCTAAACCCGTAATGGGGGCTTGGAAGGTATTTAAAGGCCTATCACTTAGTTGGAAGAAGCCAACTTAAAAGAGTGAATGTGTGCACTTCCAGTGATGAGACCTCATTTGTCCCGTTCAACTATCATAGTCTAAGGTGTCTAAGGTTTGGGTTTTCGTTAGTGCAACATCGAAACCACTTTGCTGAAAGTGCTTGCCCTCCGTCAGTGAAACTCAACCTTGCCGTGTGTATATCTGATATGGAAGTCAACCTCCAAATTGATTAGCTATTGTGGGAAGGCTTCAGGTCCCACTCTTTGTGCGATTTCTTAACTCAGAGGACAACAAGAATAACAATACAAGTGACATCTAGACAATTTTTTGGATGATGTGCTCAGTTCAAGATTAGAAAATAGAAGTAAACCTCGTCGAAGAGCGTAGAAAGATGTAATGCATTTTACAGAGTGCTTTTATGTTCCAGAGTTACTTTGATCTGGCACGGAAGCTAGGGAGGATCCAAACTGGAAGGGATGCTTAGTCACCGTTGCTTCTCTTTCCTGTCGTGTCGTCGTATCTTCCCAATTGGTTCAACTTTTCAGTGTTACTGGTTCATTGTGAGCCTCTTTGATCTCATCTATCATCTCGAGTCATTTACCTATAGTCAGCCGCCTTCATTTATCGTTCACCTGTGTTTATTAGTAACAACACCACTTCCATGGGATAGCCACTTTTGATCATCAGTCAAGCACTTGCAATACCAGCTCCTTAAAAACCTTACTTTTAAGGCTCATTGGATTGCCTGAATGCCAAGACGACTCATGTTTGGATCTCATCGATGACGCCGGTGCATCGATTTGACGAAATTAAAACCATAGAAACCCGGTATCTTTAAGGCTGCTAAGATAATTTTATGCAATACCTTCATCTACACTTCGCCAATTAGGTCTCATCTAAGTTTAAAAAGGACTGCATAAATTAACCCTCGCCTTCTCGGGTACAACAACCCGACTGGATTGCTGCTTTATTCGATTTTTGATTAAAGTATTGAGTTAGTCGGTATGGAGGGCTGAAGTTGATTCACGACCCGGTCAACGTAGCGAAATACGCTCTCTACTGGATTGGCTAAATGGTTGGAAGCAAGGTCAGCCGATACCTGGATGAGCGTCGAAGTGAACTTCTGGTGATATTCCCTCTAAGTTCAGCAACATTTCGATCTAGCTTTTTGTCACTGGGGTCTTACGGAAGTAAATTAAATGTCTGGAGAATATAAAGACGTCTGTCATGGCTGGACTTCTGTAGGTCTTATTCTGACTCCACACCGGTGCACCACGGTGGGGTCTTCGTAGTGGTTAAAGCTTCACTCGGTGACCTTTCGGGGACATGGCGAAGACAAATTCATTTTCTATTGAATCGGCTAAATGTTTTTAAATAAGAGCAACTCAAGATACATTTGGAACTGAACTTCGTAACGCACACATAAATCTGTTACGTAGGTATTGTTACGAGCTCACCGTCGTCCTGATCTGGTCTTTGTCAATTATGTTTCGCGTGAGTAAATGAAACGTCAAAGACCTCTGCCAGCGCTGGATTTCTCTAACTGTTTATCGCCACCGTCCCAGTGGGGTCTACGAAGCCGCCGATCATAAGGTAACTCGGTGAACCAAATTCCGCTGAGCCTTTTGATAGGGAAAAACTCAGAATCCATGGGACTGCGAGCATATAACCTTTCCCTTTCTTCCAGCTCACTGAATAGACCACTCGCAAACTCTAGTGACCTAAACGAGTGCACAGCGAAGAAGAACAAATTCCGGTAAAGGGAATCGTCAACACGGAATAGGATAGCATCTTTCGGGATCATCACATATCCAGCGATATTCTGGCAAGATATGGATGAGTTTATTCAAAGCTGAGGGTGGCTGATGAATTTTTATGAGAATTTTTTTAATTTATGCCAGAAGCACATCGGAGGGCTGACAATCCCTGCTCACAGCCGATCGAGGGATTGGGTATTGTGCAGATTCCTGTTAGGACAACAAGATTCTTACTTACTGCGGTGGCATGTTTGAGAAGCAATAACATAATCTTGAGTTGACTATTAAAGTGCTTAGTGAGCCATATGACGGGCTGTAGAGTCCACATAACGAACGCCTTACCGAGTATTTCGCCGGCGAGTATTCGGGGAGCTCTTTTAAACCAAAAGGCTAAGTATAGACTAGCCGCAGATAAAATCGTACTCAACTACGAGCTAAGTTCACGCTGCAGAATTCTCACGTATTTGAGAAGATCATCCCCACACCGAAGCTTTATTTTCTAATTCAAATTTTGGCGTTCCCTCTTCCCGGATCCAAGCCAACCCACCCAGTGTAAATTCATTTTCGTCTTGTGCTATTGCAATAAATTTATTCATGGGGACCAAAGACCAAACAAATTTTCATATTCCACGATCATTTCAACACATTCATTGCCTTAAACAGAGTTCTATGGAGCGGATCTTGATTAACTATACACCCTTCAAGCCATAAAGCTGCATGAAGATCTCCGCAAAACAATGTTTGAACTCAAATTTTTTCCAGCCCAACTCAACTCAATATATGCGCCAAAACATCACTTGATTTTGCAATGGAATATGTTTCTCTTCACAGCCAAAATTTTCAGAGACAACATGGACTTGGACAACAATTGGAGCAAGGATCACATGGCGGCGGGCAAACGCCTACGGGACACGGCGATGGGCAGCATGGTGGATTTGGTGATGAGTCCGGTATGCACGGCGGTCCACAGAAACCATGAGCTCCACATGCGGTGATGGGTCCATACGGACCGATGGGTCCGTAAGGGCCGCAAGGTGCCACGGAGAAACCGCATGGTTCGCACATCTTCAGTTGGGTTGATGCTGAAGCTGTTTGTGGTGGGTGAGAAGAGAGTGTGAGTTAGTATTTAGCTAAAAAAGTTTGCATTTTTTTATTTCTCACCTTTTTTTAGAGTGGAGAATATTTGAAGAACTTTTTTTTTTGCGACAAACAATTTTGAACTGATTTTTTTTTGTTTTTTTTTGGTTTTTTTAATTTGATAAATACGGGGAATGCTTGATTTTTCTTAACTTTTTTTGCTGCAGTGGGAATGTAGGCAAAGTAGTCTTTTAAGATTGGGTACGATGAGAGTGGGTTTCCTTTCCAGAATAGACGAACGATTAGGGAGTCATAATAGAGCCTGAAGCATGACGATTTGCTGAGTTCCCTGAAAAAGTATATTGGCTCTCCTCTACATTGTTTCTACTCGATATCCAGAACATCTGGAATTTCAACTTGAACTAGAAATAAAAATACTTAACCCCTTGCGCCCGATATACAGAACTTCGAAAAAAATTAACTCAGCTAGGAAAGGACTCCCTGAACCGAGATAGAATTGCTTAACCCGCGACCCAGGAGCTCTTAGTGATGTATATCACAGTTCTCTAAAATTTAACTAGGAAGAATTTTTTTGAACCGGAGTAAAGACTGTTAGAAAGATGTACCTGAAATTACTAGTAAGGCCTAGCCAACTCTCAATTCAGCTGAGAAAAGTCGCCCTGGGTCGATGTTAATATTATTAACCCGGATCTGATTAAGTGTCCCCTTGGATCGCATGAAAATTGCTCGACATAAAAGTTCAGTGTGACTGATATCCGGAACTCACAATCATAGTTCTCTCAAGAGGTCTTTCGCTCGAAAAGAGTTGAAAACAGAAATGAAGAAGTAAGAATTTATAAATTATTGTAAGTAAAAGTCCTAGCGATCTTTTATTGCTGGGAAAATGTAACAGGAAAGAGCGGACCAAGCGACAAAGCCCAAAAAATTGTCCCATATATTTCCAAGCATTAACGTCGGTCCAAAATATTCACTCTCAGGTACGGAGCTTCGGCTCCGAATGTGGAGAGCTTTTGTGCAATGAAATCGTTGGTAAAGTTCTACGAGGAGGAAGAGCGTTTGATCATAAATTATGTCAAGCATATTAAGGAGGGAAGAGAGAGAGAGAGAGAGAGAGAGAGAGAGAGAGAGAGAGAGAGAAGAAAAGAAGATAAGGTATAGAGAACATACCTCATAGGATGAACTTCAAGCCTTATTGTTAACCGCACTCAAAATTGATTGAATGTTTGCGATGGGTTTCGGTGAGCTCACCTCACTAACACTCTGCCGTCCAGCTGTTATTTGCTGCCTCTAGTGAAAAGAGCACCTAGGGCTATCGATGTAGATTCTAGTCGTGCAATCAAAGATCTCTTGAAGATAATTGCGCAAAATCAACCCAAAGTGCTTATCGATCTTATGAGTGCTCGTAGAATTGAGCTCCCTCCAGTCAGAGCTTTTTGTGGGAACCTGCTATGAACCTTGAATGCGGTTGTCTTAAGTCGTCTTTGCAGATGCTCACCTGTCGTGATAGCAGCTCTTTCTACATCGAACCTCAACTCACACTACACTTAAAAAACGTCCCAAAGCCAATTCCATGAAGTCAACATAAATGAAAATACTTCAGTATCCTTTCCAGGTTTTTTATATTTTCTATTTTTTTTCCGAATATTTTACTTTATTTATAACCTAAAACTCCTCTTAATCCAAAAGCATTTCGTAATTCCCACCAAGGAAACAAAATGCTATGACGTTGAGCGCTACTGCCGATTCTCCAAGGTTCATCTCTCAGCAACAACACTTGGGTGGTGAGTTATAGCAATGAGCCTTGCACGGACACGGCCAGCAACAGCAGAAATCCGTACGCTTTAGATATCTACACGGGCAGACGCATGGCGAGCAGCAGCAAGGACTGCAGCAAGGGCTACAACCCGAACACATCTTGTTTCTGATTACTTTGAAAGTGCTCTAAAGGGAAGAGGGTTATGATAGTACTACGTAATAGACATGTTTCCAGAAAGCGATTAACTTACTTTTTTGTACTTTTGAAAAGAGGCAGACTGCGAATTTTGAGAACCGAAAAGTTTTGTGAAATGAATGAAAGAAAATTCTTGAAATTTAAAAATAGTGTCAGAATGTTGATGGGTACCGGAGAGGATACATGTTTGAGGCAAGTAGTTGAAGTAATACAGTGCGGAGTTTTAGGTCAGAGGCATAGGTTAATAAGTGGTTTGAGACTGCTGTTTTGTCTGTTTTTGAGGGCTTCAACAACTTAAGACTTTGGGTCGATAATTGTGCGAACTTTTTAGTGGCCTTTGTGGGTTGGAAAAGAGATTATTTCAATTTATTTAGGACGGATGCTAGCAGCAGCGCTGGTAGTATCAAGTTTCAAGATCAAGAAATGCTAACGAATGATGGGAGCGTTTATAGAGAGGACTGAACGAGATTACTAAAATCTCTATTGAAACCATAGGTAGACTCATCCTACATTTTTCTGTCGTCATAGGCTGTTCTCAAAGCTAACCCAACACAACTTGTAAATAGGACAGAGTCGTGTGACCCAGAAAGCCTCTGCAGTCATGGCTTTTCATCTCTGATACCTTACTTATACACTTCTTGCTGAACAAGTGTTAAATAACTTTTTTTCGTATTTTAAAAATTATTTGCTAAACTGAGAAGCCCTTCATCTTTCGGACGGAGGAATGCTACTTGATTCCGACTCTCCACAAGAACAGGGTTTTCTTGGGTTATTAGTGTGCTGTTTTCATTATCCAGCAAACACAAAATGTCTTCACAATGAAGGTGGTTCACACGAGGCGACTTAATCAACAAGGTTTGGAACAATAATCCAAAAGCACGTAGCTCCTCTTCCCAAAACGTGAAACCAATAAAAATTCATGTTTTTCAATTAAACAATTCTTCAAGAAAAACAGTGAATTTGAATCTTTTGAACCCTTTTTTGTTAGAAAAGAAAATTCATGTTTTAATAAAAGCGATTAAACCTTTATTAAAAAGAAAAAAGAAAAATCAACCGAAAAGAATCTTAAATGGCAAAATACATTTGTTTTTTAAGGCCGCGTAGATAGGAATCGGTCCGTTGTTAAAGCTTTCGTAAAGATGTTCCGAAAAGCTGCTTTTGAGCGGGATCCCAGGTAATAAGAACTGGAAGATAGAAAAAAAATGAATGATAAATTTTATATTAAAAAATAAATATTAATTAAATTAAAAAAATAAAATAAAATAAAATAAAATAAAATAAAATAAAATAAAATAAAATAAAATAAAATAAAATAAAATAAAATAAAATAAAATAAAATAATATAATATAATATAATATAATATAATATAATATAATATAATATAATATAATATAATATAAAATAAAATAAAAAATAAAAAAAAATAAAATAAAATAAAATAAATTAAAATAAAATTAAAAAATAAAATAAGAGAAAGAAATGAATTGAATTATATATTCACTTCTTTGAGTCCGTTTAATGCTCTCTACCAATTAACCGCTTTAATTATTGGCACTCGAAATCCCAGAAGCTGAATTGGGACTGTTAGAGAAGGCGAAAGAATTAACATATCATCAAGAGCATTCAATATTTTTCACTTACAAAAGCGGCATAGAGACGTCTAGCAACCGCCACAGTAGGATCCACATGGTCCACAAGGACCACAGCACGAGCCACAGGGACCACAGCAGGGTCCACAAGGACTGCAACACGGGCTACAGCATGGGCTGCAGCAGGGACTACAGCAAGAGCCATAACAGGGACCGCAGCACATAATGAGATTTTAATGGATTACTGAAAATAAAGAAAACGAAAGTGTTAAGAATTAATTAATTTATTATTGGAAATTAAAAAAACAGTCCAGTTTATAAAAGTCCTTATGTGAAAGGATTTACTTACTTTCGGTTACAACGGAAATTTAGATGTTGGTTTCAGGCCGAGATATAAATTTTGAATGAGAAAAATTTGGATTTTTTTTCTGACAAAAAATTTTTCAATTCACAAAAGATCTCTGCAATACTTGTTTTTGTATAGAAAAGGTGAGTGTTTTTGAAAACAAGTATTTTGAAAATGATTAACACGTGACAAATGTAGCTTGTTGAGCGGCGATATTGGTTTCAGGACATTCTGTTCCAGAGTTTATTGGACAATAAGCAGTGTATGTAAGAGGTGTTGTATACCTCTTGACAGATGAAACGAATCTGGAGTGGTTATATGTCCAGAGCTCTCCCTCGGTTAGTATTACCTGGAGAATAGAGGCTTCAAGCATAAGAGAGATTAAGTAAGTGCTAAGTCTGCAGCTATGAGCTATGCTTCTCGTCAAGTACTTGTTATCCTGGCTTCCCTAGCTCTTTTCGACAAGCCTAATTTGAGTGTCGGAATCGCCAGAAGCAGAGGAGCTTTGAAGAATTTACATGCTTGACTTTATAGATCCATGAGTGTGTACCCCAGGAGGTATGTTTATAGTGAAGTTTTGTTATGGATGGATGGAATCTTCTTGCACTCATCAATATATAACAGTCACTCTCAGCGGATGCTACACTTGTGACAGGAACATATGGACACAGCTCAGTTCTACAAATAAAACTCTGGTGGTTGCCTCTCACTCAGCCTTTCTCAGTCGTGGCAAAGGGTTCAGTATGTTTTTTCAGACTAAAGGAGTCACAGTAATCACTTGTGGTGAGAGTCTAGCCTGCGAAAGGACCAACCCCTATGCCTCACTACCATTGAACGCGGGGACATATTGAAAGAGTCCATCATCATCCAGTACTCTATTGAGAAGCATGTCAATTAAAAAACTCAAGGCTTAAAGCAATGGCTTGATAATCTAGCGATCTATGTAACCCACGCGGATAAGTCCAGTTTGGTGAGATTAAGCTAACCACAGCCAAATGAGGAACTGTGTTACAAAGACACCCGCCAAGATTACCACGACCTCTTTGATTGACTTGTTAAACCTCTCTTTCCTTTCAGTTCAAGGCAGTAGAACAATATATTTTCCCGAATCTATCATTAATTGGTATCGATGATAGTTTCTGTAGGCCCTGAGCGAAGTTAAGGTTTTTGAAAAATATTTTTAAGTCAATTATTCGACACGAAGCCCCTCCAACACCTTCTCCACTTGACAAATGACTCGGATCACGGAGCAATGTTGGGGTTAGTGCTCTAGTTATTCGATTACCAAGCGCTATTTGACCACCTGAACTTCACTGGCATCATCAAATTGACGAATTTTGAGGGTTATAAACGGGCTTAAGATACCTATGAAAATATTATCGACACTTACGTGGAATTCTCAATTCCTAGAATCAAAGATCATTTGACACACACTCGTCTAAAGAACTGCCTCTACGTTGAGGTAAGAGCTTTAGGTAATTCGCGCTGCTAGTCAATGTGAACCCCACTGGCATCCCATTGACTGGTTGTGAGAACTCTAAGTGGGGTAAGGAAACGTCTAAAACCACAACTCTATTTACAAATTTTATTCATATGCCGCTTTTTCGATTCCCCAACCCAAAGATCCAACTGAGCAAAGATTTAAGTTACGTTGGGGTTAGAGCTTTGGACTCTCGGTTACGGAGTACTGGAATAATCTCAATACCTCCCTGCTGGTCCTTCATAAAGGAACCTTAAGCCCTGCTTGAGATCGAACTACCAGTTCATGCTGCTTTGCATACCTCTGAGAGCTGCAGTCGCACTCTTGGAACTTGGTTAAAGTCAGAGGTTTGAGGCTGGACTAAAAACTGAGAATTTTCGAAGTTCAAAAGAAACAACAACAAATTTTATTCAATGAAGAAGGAGACCATCATTTAGTATTTTATTAACATTTGCATTTTCGAGAGGGTTTCGATGCATCTTTACTTCTCTTTCTTTAATATAATATTAATATATACATACATACATATGTACATAGATGCATCAATGTATAAATGCGAACGCTAAGAGAGCATACAAATACAAATAATTTTTTTTGCAATATTTTTTTTTTTAATTCTCTTTACGCCAATATTCGTGACGACATCCTCGCTTGGCATTCTTGTGCGCTTTTACCGTTATTGTGGTGCTATATGCTCTTTACCTAAACATCATTGAAAGCAGAGACAAAAGCGCTGGCTCCTCACTTCTGTGGTGTGGTGTAATGAGAGAGTGGTGTGGTGAATGTAGCAAATCTGAGGCTGAGCTTTGTTACGGCCTTTTTATGCACGTTTCCTTTGGCGGCGCGTTGGTGCACTCTTGTTAAGTAGACGCTTCATCAGTTTTGTGTTCTTGGTAGCGTCCTTTAGATCTCCTACTTACACCCGCATGCTTAGCAGTGCGCTTTTAACATAGTCTGCGACACAGAGAGTGATGACATAGATCTTGCAAACCATTCCGTTTGACGCAAAGGCAGGTGCAATGTATGCCACAAAGCATGCCACGTGGACGATCACGAGTTGGTGCTGTAAGGAAAGATATAGAAGCAAGGTTAGTGCAGCTCGAGGCTAGTGCTCGAAGTAAAGAGGGCGTAGAGAAACTCGGTATGACCACCACCGCCGCGGTAACATGTTGCGCGCCAAGTCAATCTATCAAGGTGGGTTTCACGCAGCCGAAATCCACCTTGATTGAGTTCGCGCGCATCAAGGTAAACTCGTCATGATGAAACTCACCTTGATAAATTTACTGAAGTTTCAATTGATTTCTCACTCAAATTTAATTATTCAAGTCTTTGGAATTTTGAGAATTTCGAATCAATGCATTCTACGCTCGTTAGTCGAAAAACAAAGAAAGAGTTTAAGCAGCTCCTCAAGAGCAGCAGCATATATGTACATATGTATGAAAATACATATATTATACGCCTATATTTAACACGATGGCCCACAAGGATTGCACGGCGGACACGGTCCACATGGTGCACACGGCACTTGTGGACCGCATGGCCCACATGGGCCACATTGTGTATTCCACGGTGTCGGCGCACATGGATAACATGTGCCACACTCCGGCGCTTCGTATGGACAACCCGGCATGCAGGGATTGCAATTGCCACACGGACCGCAGGGTCCGCAAGCGCCACATGATCCACCACGACGTCCACGTGGTCCACACGGTCCACAACCAAGACAACATGGATCACACGGCGGTGGTACATACGGTCCGGAAGGCATTGTCAAACCGCAAGGTCCACAATTCGGTATGCAACAGGGCCCGCAAGGACCGCACGGATTACACGGTCCACATGGCGAGCAGGGACTGCCGCAGGGGCCACACGGGCCACAGGGTCCGCAAGGTCCGCAAGGTCCACAACAAGAAGAATAGCAGGGATCGCACATTTTGAGTTGTTTTTAGTTTTTTGTTTTTCGAATTTCTGCAACGGAAGAATACAATTAATACACCAGCGGGGCACGAAGCGCACTCAACTTACCTTAAAAGTTGCCGCAAGCGAAAAGTGCACAGAAAATTTGGAGTATTTTTGTTGAAAAATTTTGTACAGAATGAAAAAATTTGAAATTTGAAATATTTTTTGATAAAGAATCGTATGTTAAATTGGGGAGGAGAAATTTTTTTGAGCAAGTGGTTTTCGTTTCGATTGTGAGCCGTGTTAGAGCAAGAGCCCGCTGCAGTCAGGCTCACTATTTTTAAGACTGGTTGTCGCAGGGTCTTAGACAGTGAGTACTGGGATAGGTTAGTTAACTTTGGACAGTTTGACTGCTTGGGGATTCTCAAATAGACGGTACGCCTTCTTTAGTACTACCGGACTAAAGGTCTAAAGTGCTAAGCTTCCTCTTGTGTCTCTAGCTTAAAGAACATCTCTGCTATGCTGGCAATTGAAATAGGTGTTTTGGGCCTTTATCTATTGTGGATGGAAGGGAACTATATTTTTTCCTTAAAAGAACCTAAACTGAATGCGTGATACGTCAACAGGCAATGCTCCTTATCAGCAGACAGAAATCTGGTCTCTTTAGCTGGCTAGTAAGAGCTTAGAAATCTTTATATCATATGCTTAGCGTAAAAATTTCACAAATCCACTCCTCTTTGTTCACTCTTTCGGAACCAAAACTTCCATAGTAACGTTCCGCTATGAAGCTGCCTTGTCCTGAGCAGGTCGTCAGCTATGTCATGGCCTTCGATGTACATGTGGTTTGTCGTAGGCAATAAATATGATGCGCTGGAGACAGGGAGATGGACACATAGACCTGGATTGAGGGATAAACTTCATATTTATTTCAGGAAATACCTACACAGACTCGGCCACGAAGACGAGTCAGACTGTGTCAAGGCCTGGTAAGGCTTACCTGCATGAGATGTGCAGTGGCGAAAGCTATTGTAGAGTGGAAAGCAAACGAAAGGAAGACGCCTGAAAATATTGTGAGTAACCTGCTCCGATCGAGTTTGGTGTGTACTGAAATAAAGAACACGAATATAATAGCGCTCCGAGAGCTCAGGATGACAGTGCGACTGGGAAGAAGCTCACGAACAGATTGATAACAATACAGGGAATATGTGAAGAGGTATTTTGACACAGCCTGGCCGTGTAAAGTAGTACTTAACTGTGGTTCCGCATGTGAGGTGTCTTTGAGGTATAGACTATGTGGAGTACTTAATGCTAGGGAATCAATGGAGCGAGATCACAAAGGACGGGAGTAAATTTAGGTTATTCGTTCGCTTTAAGCAATTTTTCCATAAGCAAATCTAAGAATGTTCTAAAACGAAATTCTGCAATCCAGCCGAATGATAGTTCTGACGATTTGGTTATCTGCCGACAAAGTAAGGCCAAACAGAGCACTAAAAAATAGTATATCCAAATATTGTCCTGATTAAAACGCCGGATTTTCATATCAAAATGTAAGGCCGAGATCTCTTTAACATTGTCGTACGTTGCGGCCGACACACAGTTGTGGTGGAATCTCCCATCGAGCCGAACAATGACATACATATGTATTCTCTGCCCCCCATTACTCCGACTGCCACTTATGAAAAGAATGAGCGAAAGAAAAGCCCTGAAAACTCCGGCTCCCTGTGGTATTTGAATAAGTCGCCGTTCATTCTACTTCTCGTGTAAGCCTCTATAAAACTTCGAATTGACAGCCATAGAATTTTAGTGATCTCATAGGGCAGATATAGCTTACGATGGGCATATTCAGTACCACCAAAATAAAAGAGGAAGTTCACTGAAGACAATGAGGCAAAAGAAAGCATTTAGTATGATCGGAATTGTAGTTGGTAACACAAGCTCTGCACAGTGCCTGGAAAAAGACTACCAACACCATCCAAGAAATACCATGGAAAGGCCTAGCCAGGAATATACCAATGATTGGCAGAACTCCATAAAATTCCTATTCCTCTGAGGCAAATGGTAGATTGGGATCTTCTTAAGTGCATGCCTTTAACCCTAAGGCAATTAATCAAGAGAGAGATCTCCGAAGTAATCTTCGAAATTATAAAATTAGAAGAGCGAAACCAGGAGAGCGGGAGGGAGTAAAACTTCTGTTAAAATCCAAACTCAAGTGACTCATCACAATAAGTTCTACTTTTGACTGAGTGGCTAATGATAACAACAAAAGACTAGACCTGCAGAAATTTGGACACTAACAGAATTTGAAGTTATGGCGCTAGAAATGTTTAAGGGAAGATTCCTCCATAACAGTCACTTTGTGTTATTTATAAAGAAGAATAGAACAATGGGTTGCCTGAGATGGGATAGCAGATACTGCTAGGCTAGTCCATGTCGTTCGTGAGGTTAGTCCAAACTTCAGCTTCAGAAATATTTGAGGGAACTTGCGCTGCTGGAGATAGAGAAAATGCCTCACTCTGTCTGGAAAAGACAAGTGGGAAAGTGTCTGACTTCATTTCATGTCTCCAATTGGCACCGAACTGCGGAAAAAAGAGAGATTGGCATGCTATTACTGGCTCAGCTTCAATGCTAAAATATGGCCTGTGCCAAGTAAGACTTCGGTTCAACTAATTTATTTTGAAAGGTAGGCGATCGCGGTAGTCGAGTGGTTAACCTCGGAAGGCTTGGGTTCAAATCCTGTTGTCGTACTAAAATCCAAGTTACAAAAAATTAATTTAAATAAAAAATTTAGCAAAATTTTCCAATGCGGTCGCCTCTTGGCAGGGAATGTCAACCCCTCCGAGTGTATTTATGACATGAAAGACTCCTCAAAAAAAAAAAAAAAACCATCAGCCGTTCAGGGGCGGCTTCGTATAAACTCTAGGCCCCTCCACAAATTGGAGGAGGAGTTCGGCCGAAAATCGCTTCAGCGGCTACATATATAAAGCTTTTTTTCTGGTAATCCCGATTAAACTCCGACGTTCTTATTTATGGTGGTCTAGCATGGAAGTCAACATCGCACGACAGATTTTGTAAGAGATTTTCGCTACTCTGCGCATCGATGACGATATTAAGGACCACAAATGCTGAGCAGAAAACACAGCAGAAGACCAAAACTCACAGAATCGCTTAGGACACGATTTCGGTACTCTCTCATAGCTCACATTTAATATTAACTCAATCAAGGAGAGTTAAAAGAAAATAAAAGTCTAAGCTCCCTCTTTCGACTCGACGTCGGAGGAGCTACTAACAAATCTTGCTGCACCATCCCATTAACCAGAAAGCTCGCCTTTGGAGCAAATAAATTCTTTTTTTTTACACATTTAATATAAAAAAAAAGAAGAAATCACACTACATACTCGTTTATTAGAGTTTAAATAAAAATAGCCACTACCAAGCCTTTATTTAAAAAAAAAAAGAATAAACAAAAATTTTTGGAAAATTGGTCAAAGTACTTCATTCAACGTGATAAAGGATGTCTCGCACTGAACTTTATGAAACTCCTTACTTCCATTGTTGTTGTTTTCGATATTATTATTATTGCTGTTTTTTTTTCTTGTCAATTTCTTGCTCTCTTTCTGTCGTTTTGCTACGTTTTTTCTTCTATCTCGTTGCACCTTTGATTGGCATATTTTACGCTCGTTGGAGTTTAGCGGAAGTCTCACTACACTTGTGGAATTCTCTTTTGTGCTGGACTGTACTCTTCAACATACTCTTCAACATACATTTCCTCGTTACCGGCTCGTCGTTGCTTCGTCTTCCGAGTGTGGTTGCAACATCCTTTAAACAGTCGTAGAAGTAATCTGCCTTAGCTTCCTTACTCACAGACAAAGTTTAAAAACCACCTGAATGAAGAGCGGAAAAAGAGAAAAAATAGAGAGAGAGCATACATTAATACACTGAAATATACAACAACTACTTACATATGTACAAAAAAAATGTGAGACAAAATTAAGTTAGAGCGCAAGAGTGCGAGAGACACGGAAAGATATGCGCGCGGCTAGAGGCTAATTTCTATGGTTGCTCCTCGGATACTTGCGTATTCTCATTAAAAAGTTAAACAGAATTTAAAAATTGCCATCTCTCATCTCTTTTACATATACATAGATAACAGCAGGTTCTCTCTCTTTTTGAGAAAACATCAAGAGAGAGAGTGCAACATAGAAACGCACTCTCTTGACGGTACAAAACTCTTAAACAATCTGCGCCGTCAATTCTATCGACTTCGTGATGAAATTGTCGGTTTAGTGAATTGAGCGCCTGCAGCTCTATCTCTGCTCAAGCCAAAACGATGGTTTGATAGATTTCTGGATCGAGGGTTGGCCATATTAATGCATTGTGTCGTTGGGTATTCGGCCATTGCTGCATAATGAATCCCAAGTATACGCAAACCTTGAGGTAATTTGCCTAGAAGGAAGAACACTGGAAGATATATAAGTAAGAAGGACTTGGTAGGATTGATCTTCTTGACTAAGGAGTTAAGAAGTACGTCGGACTTGGACTTGGACTTGGACGACCGCTGAAGACTTGGACGACCGCTGACGACTTGGACGACCGCTGAAGTCGGACGTTGTTTGCCTCTAACAAAGGAACATAGCTCGATCGGTTATTTGATGCGCAATTTAAGGAGCTTGACGGACTTGAAGGACCGCTTAATGTTGAAGTAAGATAAATTTAAGAAACAATAATCGTAGATGTGGAAATAAGAAGGACTTAAGCAAGTTCTGAGTAACATCGACCCTTGAAAACCTCTCAAGAATTCTTTAAGAAAGAACAATAGGCTCAAAACGGCTGAAAAAAAATTAATTTTGTCCGTAGACGGAACGTGACTGTAAGCATTGCCGGCGCCTTAACCGCGAGCCCGCTTCATCTCAACTTAAATGAATTCGTCAAACATACTCACATGGATAGCTCGGCGGGGTATTATTACAATTCCATACACACGGATTTGGAACACCAGCTTCCACAATTGGTGGGCAACAGCCCGGTCCCGGTGGACATGTGATTGGAGCTGGCGCACCACATGGCGGATTCGATGCACCACAACAAGCTGTATCACAACATGGCGAACAAGACGGGCCACAAGGACCACATGGTCCACACGGCGCACAACCACCACAGGATCGCGCACATAGCGCAGCAGTTTCATTACAACGCATACGCTTATTATTCACACCCATCGTCATATTGGCATAGCGTAGCGGAAACGAAGCTGGACAGCAATTCGGCACGGGGAAGCACATACAAGCAGCTCGCCCTTGACAAAGCGAACGCGGACATCTGTCTTGCAAGCCGTTTCTTTTGATACAGTCGCAGGTAGTGTACATAATTCCACAACGTAATTCGCGACTACGACAGGCTCTAGGCTAAAATGTGTGGGAAGAGAAGAATAAAAAAAGAAAGAGAAGAGAAGAAACAGTGTGCGTGGAAGAGAAGAAAAGAAAGAGCGCTCATTAGACTGGTGGTGGTGAGCATACTGTCATCGTAACCTCGATTGGCGCGCAGACCATATCAAGGTGGGTTTCACGACGCTCAGAATCCACCTTGATAGGTATGCGCGCATCAAGGTAAATTCGACATGAAACTCACCTTGATAGTGGCCAAGTTAACGAAATCTTCTTCCAAAATACTAAATTTTCTTAAATATAACGGTTTATATAGTTGAGTTAGTTGGGTGTTGTGTATAGATGTAGGCAAGTGAACAAATCTCTTTAGATAGCTTTTTGTAAAACATTCGTCTTTAATGTTAAATTAGCCGTGCAAGGCGCTTATGAACCGCACGACTACTTTCCCGCCGACGCCATAGACGGGCACATTGCATCCTCGGCCGCTTCATACGGCCCACAAGCGCCTCCACCGCCACCGGCACCAAAGCTGCCAGGTGGCATACCGCAAGGTCCACACGGTGCACAATTTGGTACGAAGCAAGAAGTACCGCAAGGTCCACAAGGTCCACAAGGTCCACAAGGTCCGCATGGTCCACATGGTCCACAAGGTCCGCAAGGTCCACAAGGTCCGCAAGGTCCACGGCACGGCGAGCAAGGTCCACAAGGACCGCAGGGACCCGACGGCTTGCATGGGAAACATCCGTTCGGCTCGCAAATAGGATACTGATTGGTTGAAAAGCATGGCAATGGACCACATGGTCCGCATGGTGAGCACGGTCCCATAGGGCATGGTGGACATGCTACGCTCGGCTTATAATTAATCGGTCCCGTTGGATAGCAGCAGTATTCACGTGGCGGCGGTATATCAAGTGTTTGCGGCTTAGGTTGGCACAGTATCGCCTGGCATACTTCACGCGGCTCACAAATACGTTTCGGATAGCAAACCACATACGGATCAGGCACCATGGATGGATAGTAAATGACGCGCGGTTCGCGCACCATCTGTGAGACCCACGTCAGTTTGGGTACTTTAATTACACGCGTGGTATCCACAACTTTGGGTATGGTTATTTGACGGCAACGATTTACGACCATCGGCTCCGGCACAATTTTCTCATTGAAAACGACGCGCTTGCGGCAAATCAGTCGTGGCGGCTGCTGTACGGTTATGCATTTCGGGCAGGGCGGTGGTATGCGGGGCGCACACTGCGGTAGAGCGTCCAAATGAGCGCCTGTGTAGCATTTTGGCGAGCACTATGCGTCATGATGATTATTTGGTTAGTTTGTTGGTTGATTGGTTGGTCGAGTGGAAGAGCGAGAAAATGTGAAATTTCTATTTGCTACACAAAATTTCATGGCTGTTTTGTTGTTTTTTGGCTTATCGTTGGCCATTTTAAGAAACTTACCTCAAACGGTGCACAGCATGGATCGCAGGGACCACACGGGCCGCATGGCCCACAGGGGCCGCAAGGCGATGGACACGGTCCGCAGGGAGAGCAGCAAGGGTCGCACATTTTGAGACGTGTTTTTTAAATTTCTGCAAAACAAATGTGTGGTTAGTATTCCAGATCATTTGAGGAACCACCACCAAACCAATTTAACTTACTTTTTAACTTTTTAAAGAAAATAAGTTCACTTGAAATTTAGATACAGCTGAAGGGGCTGAAAATTTAGAAATGAATGAAAATTTTTTGATTAAAATTTTTGAAATATAATTCCACTTGCCATGTCTACGTGAAACAAAAATGCAGAGTGTTTTTGAAAGGAGGTGGCAAAGTGTGGAAGTCGGCAAAGGCAACTCATGTGCAAGGTGGAGTAGCCAACCCGGACGTAGTCTTGAGTCAGGAAGCTTTAGTATAACTCGATTTAAGGGTTATCTAAAGTCTAATTACAGCGTATGTTTGTCAAGGGCCGACTGCAAGCGGGTGTCGGTCTTAAAGCAAGTGGTACGCCATATAAAAGGTTCTAACTAATCACTGATTTGCTCTACCGAGCGAGGTTGTGCGCTAGACTTAAGATCCACCTCAGCTGATGACTTGACAGTGGAAGTGGAATGAAGTGAGCGTTGAGAGAAAGAGAGAGAGAGAGAGAGAGCGACGGTTGGTTTATACACCGATGATGATGGTATAAAGATTCCATCATCGTGAATGGAATAAACTGCCGCCCAGATGAAAAACAAAACGTCTGTAGCTTATAGCTTATTGGCTGAGCAATTCATATACGACCGCGTGGCACTCACAAGATGCATTCAATACGACATTTAGAAGCTCAGTGTGCTATGTGGAGTCCACAAAAAGATGGTCCCCACGGTCTGCGCAAACTATCGAGGAATGAGCCTACTCTATATCATATATAAGGACCTATTCCTCGTGTTGAGTGAAAGAGTACCACCGGTAACGAACTGATCGTAATTTCTGTTTCTTCAGCTGCGATAAAAAAAAGGAGGTCAATGTGGGAGGCACTGAGTGAGGACAAGACGAAATATATAGATATTTTCATCAAAATAAGCGAATTCGCGTTCATTCGACGTAGGAGACCGTCTCTATTGACTGGCATAACCTTGAAGTTGTTGTTGTTGTCAATCTAAGAACCAGTATAAAAGTCAATCACAAGAGCTTTCTAGAGAAACATTTTCTGAATTTTTTTGGTCCTCTGCGTATGAGCGTGGCGAATACCACAGACGATAGGGCCATAAACTGTATGAGATAGTTCCGCGAATTAAGTGGCAGTGGCTACGTTGGCTATGTCACTTCGACAAGATACATGAAAAACTTCAGATCGAAACCATCCACTCCGTTGAAAATATCAGGTGGAAAGAACAAACGACTGTACTGATAGTGGTCTGAGTGAGCTTTTGCTCTTACATTGGTAGTTGTGCTCAGTTCCTCTTTGAAAGGATTACGGAATGGGTTTGTAGTAACCATTTACTTCTTTCTACGACTCTTGAAGATGTGCTTAGGACATTAATGTAATCTTAAGCCTTTTGTTTATTAGCACTCAGCTTCTTCTACAGTACCAATTTGGTCTTAAGCGCTTCTACAAGGAAGGCTTTTAAATATTACCAAATAAATTAAATCCTATTAGACCTCACTTGCTTCCTTCTCTCTCTCTCTCTCTCTCTATCTCTGCCCACTTTGAATCACATCGACCAAATTTTTATTTATTCACCACACCAACAACCCACAACTAGAACTTCCAGCTCTGCAAAGCCGATCGTCATTGTGTTCAAATCACGAAATCGAGCTTCTTGAATGCAACTTCAAATATCAAGAGCTCAGTTCGTGTTCGTCTGCCGTGGTCAATGGTTTGTTAAATCGGAAAATAAAAATTATAAAGTGTGTGGAAATAGTGATCTAGGAAATAAAGCTTTATTGAGGTTAGATGATAAGCTTGCACATATATGTATATATAAGCGAGAAGTGGATAAAAAATTAAGAAAACAAATAATTAAAAAATGAAAATGTATTGAAATGAATATAAAAAATATTTATTTTAGTAAAATAAATTACGAAAGCAGAGTAAAACAGCGATCAGCGCATATTGAGGTCAACCGGAAGTGATCTTATAGAACTTAAATATAAGTGTTTTGTATGAAATTATGCTGCTTCAAAGTGTTTAAGCGTGAAAAAGGTGTTTTTGAAATGAAGCCGAAATGAAAAATTAGAAAAAAAATTAGAAAAAAATTATTTTTGAAAAAAAGGACTTTCTATGACACTCAACTTCAGGCAGGTTGGACCAAAAAGTTGGTGAAAATTTGTGTTTTATACTTTCAAAAGCAATTAAAATATATATTTTTTTTATAAAATATAAAAAAGTGTGACTTCCGCCCATTCATATGGACAAAATATTCAAAAATTGCTTAAATTTTACTTTAAGAAACTTTCCTCTTCTTTGCATTCGCTGGCGCTGTGAGCGAGTTTTTTGTGATAAAGGCATCTATTTCGCTAATAAAAAGTTCATAATGTTATCAATCACAGAACTAATTGAAATAAAAAGAAATAGCAGAAGAAACTAAAATAAATATTCGGCTGCCGTCTGTAGAGAAAGAAGCCAGACTTTGAGTGCGTTGAAATAATTTTTGGCGTTCTTATCAGTTGATGTGACTACAAACGTAAATATAGTTGCTATGAACAGCTGTTGACATACATACACGTAAATACAAGCAGCCTGATAAGTGTCGCATTTTTATCAATTATTTTTTTTTTTTCTAATTTTATTCCAATTTAATTCATAATTTTATATTTATATTTTTATTCACTCGCTGTCTTTTGTGGTTTTGTCGCTTAGAAAAGCGTGCTGAAGTGGTGAATATTTTTTTGTGCATTAACAAATCGATTACGACCTTCAGTTAGGTCAGTGTTTAAAATTGATAAGCTAGACTTCTTATCAAAATATGAGAAACTGTGTCAGTGGCGCCAATGAAAGGAAGAGTGAAGTGTATTTGCATGTGTGTGTGTGCGAAATTCCCACGATTATCGCTCTGAGAACTTAAAAATAAACGGAAAATTAAATACAAATAAATACAAATTAAACAAGTTAAATTACGGAAATTGAATAAAATTCAACTAAATAAAAAATCGCAAGAAATATAAAAAATTAAATTAAAAGAAATAAAATAAAATTATTTAAAATGAAGTATTATAAACAAAGTTAAGATTAAGTAAATTATTAAAATAAAATTATATAAAATTTGAAATGCTTAAAAAATATAATTAACAGAAAATTAAATTTAAAAAAAATTAATAAAAAAAATTAATTTAAAAAAATTAAATAAAACAGCATTAAATAAAACAATCTAAATTAAATTAAGATATGAAAAAAGTAAAATAAAATAACATAATACAAAACAAATAAGAAAAATGAAATAATGTAAAATTAAATTAAAATAAGGTAACACAAACTAAATTAATATAAATGATAATAAAATAAATTTAACTAAAAAAAATTAAATTAAGTTAAATAATAATAAAATAAAATTACGTAAATAAACTGAAATTAAATTAAAAAAATTAAAATAAAATTAAAATAATATTAACAAAAAATTATATAAAGATAAATACAATAAAATTATTTAGATGAAACAAAATAAATAGCAAAAATTAAATTAAATTAAATTAATATGAGAAAAAATAAAATAAAATAAAACAATCAATATATAAGAAAATGAAAAAAATAAAAATTAAATTGAAATTATAATAAAAAAGTAATAAAATAAATTTAAGTAAAAAAATTGAAACTAAATTAAAAAAAAATTAAAATAAAATTAACAAAAATTTATATAAAGATAAATATAATAAAATAATTTAAATGAAACAAAATAAATAGCACAAATTAAATTAAATTAAATTAATATGAGAAAAAATAAAGTAATATAAAACTAATTTATATGCGACGAAATTAAAAAAAAAAACTAATTAAATTAAATTAAGTTTAAATAAAAATTAAATCCAAATAATATAAAATTGATTTTATTAAAAACAAAAATAAAATCTAAATCAAAGTAAACTAAATTAAATTAAACTAAAATTTGTGAAATAAAATATGCATAAAATAAAATAAAATAAAAGAAAAAAGTATAAAAAAAAGTTAAATTAAATTAAATTAAATAGAATAAGTATATCATATAAACTAAAATTAAATAAGTAGAAAATAAAATAATATAAATTAAAATAATATAAAATAAAATAAAAAAAAAAATAAAATAAAAATTAAATAAAATAATATAAACTAATTTAAATATATATAATAATTTAATTGAGTAAATAAAATAAATTGAAAAAACTACAGATAGTATAAATTTAAAAAAAATAAATTTTTAACAAAATAAAATAAAATAAAGCAAAAAACATTTCAATTAGTCGAAATTAAAGTAAACTAAAATAAAAATAGAGAAATTGGATAAGAACGAAATAAAATAAATAACATAAAACAAAGTAAAATGAAAATGTATAAATAAGATAAAGTTGAATAAATATAAAAATAAAATTATAAAACGAAACAAAACAAACAAAAATTAAAAAATGTAAATAAAGCAATATATGCTAATTAATGATTAAATAAAATAAACTTAAGTAATATAAATTAATAAAATACAATTAAATTAAAAAAAAATTAATAAAATAAAATTATAATGATGAAAGTGATTTAACTTTAAAAAATTTAAATTAAACAAAATAAAATAAAATAAAATAAAATAAAATAAAATAAAACAAAAATCATTTAAATTAAAGTAAATAAAAACAAAACTACAAAAAAAATTTATATAAACTAAAATAAAATTAAAAAAAGAAACAAAATAAATAATATATAATTTAGTTATATAAATAAAACAAAATATGAATAACATTAAATAAAGCAGAATAAAATAAGTAGAAAATAAAATATAAATCAAACTAAAATTAAATTAATAAAATTAACTAAATTAGGAAAAAATAAAATAAATTCAAGTAAAAAATATAACATAAAATTTAATAAAAACAATTTTATTTAAAAAATTAAATTAAATAAAATTGACAACAAATAAATAATTTTTTTTTTAAATTAAAATTGTTTGATAAAATTACATAAATAATAAAATTAAATAAATAAAACAAAATAAAGTAAATGTAATAAAGTAAAAAGTAAAAAATTATTAAACAAGATATAATAAATAGAATTAAATGAAAATAAGTTTAATCATAATATAACTTATATTTAATTAGTATGCTTGATTTTATTTGTAAATTAATTGAAATTAAAATATAATAAAATATAATAAATTAAATTAAATAAAAATATTTAAAATTAAATTTAATTAGAATTTATTACCTTAACTAAAATTAAATTAAATGTAATTTAAAAAGAATGAAATTAAATGAAAATAAACGAAAATTAAATTAAATGAAAGTATAAAAATAAAATTTAATTAATGACACTGAAATGAAAAGTGTACGAATAGAAATTAAATAATAAATAAAACTTTTTTATTTTTTATTTCAATATTTTCCTCTCCATGCAGTTCATATAACCCAAGGATAAAAATGATGCACAACAATTTTTTGCAAAAATTGTAAAATAAACTAAAAAAATAATTTTTTATTTATATTAAAATTAATGTTTTGTTGCACTGCATTCACCTGCCGTTTGGGTGAAACAGTTTGGCAACAGAAATCAAACGAAACATGATTTTCACGAGGAATTCTTTGCAACGTTATCAGCATTTCAATGGAATCACTAACACTATTAACGCTGTTTACATTTGCATTGGGTTTTTGTATTTGGCAGCCGCATTAACTACCCCGGCGACAGCGCAAGTGAAGGATGGTGAGTAGTTGTTCATATGTGTATGGTATATTTAAAAAAAAAAAGTTGATTTTTTGGACAGTATTGAATAGGTGGCAGGTATATACATAAATATGGGATTTATACAAATCAATCCCACACGTAATTAGCTCTTTCTTACTCAGCGTTAAATAACAAAATCTCTGGTATTCGATCAACCTAATTTTTAAACCAAAAATAAAGCAATTATTAATTCTTTTCCATGCTCTCTATATTATATTAATTCACTGTCAATATATGACATATATATGTATGTATGTATATATTGTATAAGTATTGTACATCAATGAATCTATGCAGAGTGTTATGTGTGTATTATGTTAGCTTGAAAGTCATTAAAAAGCGGCAAACTTTTATCATCAACATATGCATGTACATTCATACATACATACATACATACATACATACATACATACATACATACTTACAAATAAATCATTTGTGCTTAATTAGCCAAACAGACAGCGCCACACATTAAAATTGCATGACGATATCGGAAAAGGAATCGTCAAAGTGTTAAAAATTGTGCGCAATGAACCGATATGATTTTTAAATATTTTTTTTATACCAATGTGCATGTATGTACATATGTACATATGTATGTAAATAACAGAACATATCTGTCATAAACTTAACTATTATATTTTTAATGCCGGACATGCGACCCAAATAAAATAGGTTGGCGAAAAAAAAAATCGAATTTAGTTGAATGACAGATAGACAGCTGGAGATGCAACTTTGTATGTACCTACATACGTCTACTCGTATGTATATGTGTATGAACTGGCCTAAAACTACTTCGAAACTAGTGAAAGTTTGCTTGAAGAAGTAAGCAGCCCACGATAAAGCTGCGACTATATGTCAATCAAAGGTGCACTAATCCCAAACTACTTCTAAAAAGCCTGAATATGTAACTAGTTATATTTATACCCGCATTTAATGTTTTGTTAATTTAAACAAAATTTAAAGGAAATGCCATTATCAAATTTCTATCACATACCTCTCCACATACCTCTTCCAAACGGACCAAATTATTACTATTTACAATAAATATCTTATCCAAAACTATATTAAAGGTAATAAAATTTTCCGATTTCGATGATACCTATATTACTGGTGCTTTATCACTTCATAATAGCACAAATTATCATATTATAGGTTAATTTCAGAAAATAAACTTTTCTGATTTTCGCCAGTTATCGACTGGTCTCAGACTAGTTTCAAATGGGCCTAATTGTTTGTTGTTTAGTCTTGCCTAAATTGTATTTATTGCATTTAAAAAATAACTAAATGAAATGAAACTGCCAGCTTTCAATTAGAAATATACTAGTTCAAAATGAGCCAAAAATGTTACTAGTGCCATAGCTCACCACATTTCGTGTTCGGTTTAATGCAGAAAATGTTAAAAGAAATCTAAATTGCTGGATATTAAACAGAAATATAATACTCCTATACTAGTTCAAAATGTTCTAAAATGCTAATAGTTCACTTTTGTACCAAAGTTGTTATTGAAAATAATATGAGCAGAGATAAAGCAGCCAAATTTTGTTTACACAAATACTCGGTTCAGACTAGTTCAAAATGCAACCAAATAGCTACTAGTCTAAGGCATAATTAAAATTTTGTTTTTCTTGCATTTAGCTACAAAAGAGTGCAAATAAACTAAAAAAAATATGCACAATCGATTTTTTATCGATCGAATTGATTACTTCATTTCTTGACGTTTGCTCGCCCGTTACTAATCACAGCTGTCAGTTTTATGCAGTTGTTGTTGTTGTTATTTTTTGCAAATTTGTTGAGCATTAATGTTGCAACTGCTTTTAGTGTGTCAACGACCAATTGATATGGCATTGACGTCACACATTGATCGATTGTCTCAAAAGGCACTGAAGGTCGTTAAGAGTGAATTCGTTTTGATTTTATCGAAAAGAAGATGGATTTGTCATGCACAATTGAATATCTGTATTTTTTATTAAATGGTTTGTTGTTAGGACTACCTTGAAATTTGCTAGACTAGCAGGTGTCGGTCTTATAAAATTGTTCAGTTCATATTAAGTCAATTCATTAAAGGCGGTATCTGCACTGTTCAATTATGAAGAGCTTAAAAGCTTCTTGCTGCATTTTCTTAAGTAGAAAACAAATATTTAATTTATTATTTTTTTTAGTGTATTTAAGAATAACTAAATATTTTCAATCTTTTTTGTGGTTTTATTATTTCTGCTTATTTTTAAATACCCTACTTATTGTTCCCCTACAAAAGGAGGGGCGGCGCCTAAAACTATGCCAAAAATTTAAGTGTTCATTAAAGCTTAAATGAAGCTTGAAACGGTCAAGCTTTAACTGTACGCCGCTAGCTTTTTTCTCATTCATACTATAACCTGTTCACACATAATGAGATAATTGAGTACTAAATTGGATAATGGATTGGATTAGATAGATCCTTTGTGCTTATATCGTCGTATTTGTGGCAAATCTGCTTCTGTTCTGAGTTATTTTTTCAAGTTGTTTGCATTGCATTCTGCCACTCAGGAAGCCAGGATTCGAGTCCTAATTCGATCAACATCCAAAAACTTCTCATAAGGATGCATCAACCGTTTGGAGCGGACTTCGAATAAATTGTAGGTTCCTCTAATTGTTGGAAAAACATCAAGACGCATTCCACGAATCGAAGGAGGAGCTCGGCCGACTTCAGCGGTTACAAGGCGCCAATTATATGTATATATAAGACTCGACCGCTGACATGGTAATAACTCCGCTTGAGAATCCTCAAGAGATAATTCTGACTTAGCTAACTTATCTGTTTTTGAGCAGCCGTCTGGTCGGCAACCTAGAATATGTAGACGTCGGTTTGAGCTGTCAGCAGGAACAAGAACGAATATTAACGACGTTTGAGCTTACGTTTGGCCTTACCACCGCGCAGTAATGCTGCTTGGCTAGCTGAGAGTTGAAATAGTTGTCTTTTTTATCCTACCGTTGTAGGGAAGCTCTATCAGTTTTTATTCTCATAGGCAGTACATCTGGTACTGAAAGATGATCCACTCCTTTAAAACCGCTTCTCCATTCACATCTAGATAATATCTTCATCTGACAGCAACTATTGAACTCGAACCTTGGAGGGGTATTGTCTGATTTACTTAAAACTGGCTAAGCATATCGATATGTCCGAACACTTTTCGGTTACAGCAACCCCATTTCATAAATTCATATCCCAGAGTAACCGCTAAATGGGCTTTTGCAGGAGTAAAAACTCAGATATGCCTTCTGTAAGGGACGAAGGAAAGGCAGTGCCGTTAAAGGGCTTGACATACGTCCTCCGAGTATATTTCTGACACGCAATAAAAGCTCCTCGTAAAAATTTTCCTCCCTCATCGCTAAAAATTTAGCCTAGAGCTTCTCAATCGTCCCAGGATTGCTGGCGCTGTTTTTCAAATAATTCCACAAAAAAGTCAGTTTGGTCTGTCTATCACAGTGACGATAGGGCTCGTTTGGGTTTTGGGCAACACTCTCTCCGATAGCTTCAAGCAGTTCATTCGAGCTGGCTCGCCGTTGAAGGATAACAAATACGTACCTTCTCTCATAAAAACTTGGTCCCGAACTGCAGGTGATAGCTTGCCACGCCTTACTTTATGGCATTGTGGCTGAAAAAGATGAACTATCAAGTACCGACGCTGGTTAGATTCATTGCAACTTTACTCGAGTCGTTGGGCAAATGGGTACTTTTCTTGAGGAATCGAACGAACCGTAGAACCGTGTGTTGGGGTCCTTGCCAAATAATAAACTGAAAGTTCTTTTCTCAAAGCTGTTGCCACTTCCTTTGATTCTCGCCTAGAAGAGCTGTCTGTAACTAAAAGGTATTGCGAAAAGAAGCTAAACCAGGCATACAAGGTTAAGTTGAGCTCAGAAGAAATAAATTTATACTCGATCCCGAACACATTTACTGATTCCTTCCTAGTTTTGTATCATAAGAAATTCTTAACTATTTCATTAACCCCAATCATTTTACTTTTAGATGGCTTTGTGGATTTGATACGCGAATTCGGCTTGCCCGAACTACGCTCTGGTGTCATCGGTGTACCGGGCATGTGCGGTGCCAAACGTAATCCTTATCAAGTGCATAGTGCACCAGCTTTTCGCATCTCCAAAGACGCTCCGCTCACCATTGAAACGGGCCAAGCCTTTCCTAAAGGCTTCCCCACGGACTTTTCAATCATATTGACTTTGCGCAGCAATCAAACGAATCCCACAAAATCGCCCGTGTTCACCATCTACTCAGACGAAAGCGAAGAGGTGCTCTCACTTCAGCTGGGCAAAGAGATTAGTCTGATTTATGAACAAACCGACGCGACATTCAATCAACGTAACACCATTAATTTTGGCATTGGTGTTAGCGACACGAATTGGCATCGCATCGGTGTGAGTGTTAAAGGCACAGCGGCTACTTTGGTGCTGGATTGTACGAAACAGGTGACGCGACGCATTGAACGTACGCGTGGCAGTAGCATCACGACCAACGGGCTTATACTCACTGGCTTACAAATGACAAAGGACGAGGAGTTTTTCGCCGGCGATGTTCAGTTAATGGCCATAGTGAGTAGTCCCGAGGCGGGTTATGAGGTGTGTACACGTTATGCTACACCCTGTGTGCAGCAAGGTGGGCTAACGGTAACGCGTTATGTAAGTGGCGGCGGTAGTGATGGTGGTGGGGAGAGTGGTGGTGGCGGTGGTTGGTCGTGGTCATCAACTTCTTCGTCGAGCAGCGGCGATAGCGGTGGCGGTAGTGGAGGAATAAGAGTTGGTGGGAGTGCTGGTTTAGATAGAGCTGCGCTCGGTGTTGGTGAGAATGGCAGGCGGTTCGGTCAAGTCGGTGGTGGAGGAATTACTGGTTTAGGAGGTGAATCTAATTTCCAATATTCCAACTCGCATGGTTATGGCGGAAACGTGCCTTCAGTTGAAGGAGGAAACTTAATTGGGAACTTGCAATCCGGCAGCGCTTTACTAAGATCCGGAACGTTGGCTGTTAGTGGTGCTGGTGGTGGAGCCTTTGATGGTATTGAGCCAAGGAGAGGACCCGTTGTAGCTGGAGGTCTTAGCGGTCAAAACGCTGCACTGCCAAATTATCCAATAGATTTCGATGGGACCGATCCCGAAGATTACGTCGTAGAAGGCAATGGGGAGGTTGATTTTGATAATTATGTAGATCTAACAACACCAACAACGCCGGCGTCCAAAGAAGCTGAAGGTATAGGTGGTCATAATGAAATTAGCGACAAAAATAATTCAACAGAAAGTGAACCTGGCACAAGCCCTTTCGAGCCTTCAACGCTAAATGTTAATCAGAAGCCCAATAAACGAAAAAATGGCGGTACCAAAGTGAATGCCACTGATCCGAGTTATGTTGTGGGTGGTGGTAACACTGTCTGCTATCCAGGACCAAGAGGATATACAGGCACGCCTGGACCACCTGGCGAACCAGGTCAAAAAGGTGATGCTGGCCGCGACGGTTTAGCGGGCACTGCGGGTATACAAGGACCACCTGGACATGTATTCGTTGTGCCGGTAAGTATTCTTACTCAGACTTGATTTTACAAAGCTGACTTCCCATTTCACGCAGACCATGCAAAGCGGTAACGAGAAAGGACCCGACACACAAACTGAAGCGTTGCGACAGATGATTTCACAGCATATGGTGGGTAGCCGGTGATGTAGAAAATATGCGTCATACTTTTACATTCTCTTTATTTTGCAGATGGCACTGCGTGGTCCTGAAGGCCCAATGGGTTTAACCGGTCTACCAGGCCAACCAGGCGTGCCTGGCTTGCGAGGCGATAAGGGCGAACCTGGCGATGTTGGTGAACCGGTAATTAAAACTTTATGCTCTCTTCCCATTTAACGTATTGACCTAACGTTTAGAATATTTACCTTCGACAGGGTTTGCGTGGGCTGCGCGGACCTGCTGGTCCACCGGGTAGGGACGGCCGACGTGGTCGTTCTGGTAGAGATGGTGAACGAGGTGCTGTGGGGCCACAGGGCCCGAAGGGCGAAATTGGACCTTTGGGTCCAATTGGTTTGCCCGGCGAAAAGGGACATCGTGGATTGCCTGGCTCAACTGGCGAAAAAGGTCAACAGGGCATTGAGGGTCATCCCGGGGAAGAAGGACCACCAGGTTTGCCCGGTTTGCCTGGAGAATTGGTAAGTATTTTGTATCAAAAACATTTTAAGCATCCATATATTTGTATAATATTTTTCAGGGTCCTCGTGGGTTTCCCGGCCCACGCGGCTTTCCAGGACCTGCAGGCAACCCTGGCTTACAAGGTGCGGAAGGACCACAAGGAGCGAAAGGCAGCACCGGTTTGACTGGACCTGCAGGACCACCTGGGCAAATAGGACCAAACGGTCCTACGGGCGCGCCTGGCCCGCAAGGCAATTTGGGGCCGCCTGGTATTGCTGGACCGCCCGGTAAACCTGGCTTACCAGGTTTGCCTGGCGCTGATGGTGCACCTGGTCGCGCTGGTACACCGGGCACGATTGGTCCAAAAGGTGACCAGGGTATGCAGGGTGTGCAAGGGCCTGTTGGTTTTCCCGGACCTCGTGGACTTAAGGGAGATGATGGGCAACGCGGCTCTCCTGGCGATAAAGGCGATGACGGTGAGAGAGGTATGGATGGCGAAAAGGGCGATGCTGGACTGCCAGGCGAACGAGGAATGACAGGGGCACCTGGTAGCCCAGGGCCAGAAGGCCCTGAAGGTTCCAAAGGTTTTGAGGGGCCCAGAGGTGAAACAGGTCTGCAAGGTTTGCCTGGCGAGAAAGGTAAACAAGGACCGCAGGGATTTCAAGGTTACCCTGGACCATCTGGGGATAAGGGTGACAAAGGTGCAACTGGCACGGCTGGGCCGGTAGGAATAAAAGGTGAACGTGGTTTACAAGGACAGCCAGGAGAGCGAGGTGAGATGGGTCCAAGAGGATTCCGTGGCTCAAGAGGCAGACGAGGTGGAGATGGCAGCCCAGGCTCGAAAGGAGACACTGGTCAACCTGGTGCACCCGGTCCTCAAGGTGAGTCAGGACCACAAGGAACGGAGGGTCCTCGCGGTTTTATTGGCTTGCCTGGAGCACCGGGAGTGGATGGAAAGAACGGTGTAATGGGTCCACCTGGAGAGCGCGGACAACCCGTAAGTAAAAGAAGTACCAGCAAAAACTTATCTCTAAATTTGATTTTATAGGGAGAACCAGGAAAACCAGGACCACCTGGGGAAGCAGGAGTTATAGGTCCTCGCGGAGCTCCTGGTGAGTTGGGACCTATAGGTGAACCTGGAGCTCCAGGCCTACCCGGATTGCCTGGAGAAGCTGGTTTACCGGGTGAGGCTGGTAAAGAGGGGCCGCCAGGTCCAATTGGCCCTATTGGTATACCAGGACCTCAGGGACCTACCGGACTTCCAGGCTTTCCTGGTGAACGTGGTCATCAAGGACAACCCGGACTACCTGGTTTAAAGGGAGAACAAGGTTTGCTAGGCCCACCTGGATATCCTGGTGACAAAGGGCAATCGGGTGAGCCAGGGAGCCCTGGTAGTCAAGGTCCGCCTGGTAATCCTGGACCGCCTGGTAGTGTTGGATCACCCGGTGCCAAGGGTGAGCCTGGCGAGAAAGGACCTATTGGGCCTGCTGGAAGAGATGGCTTAACTGGTTTGCGTGGTTTGCCTGGCCCACCTGGACCTCAAGGCACGCCGGGTGAAGATGGTGACAAGGGAGAGACCGGATCTCCTGGTGAGAAAGGTTTGAAAGGAAGTAGAGGAGAACCAGTAAGTATAAGATTTTTCATTTATATTAATCGTAACAGGTAAAATCATTTAATCTTAGGGTCCCATTGGTTCTACTGGACCTCAAGGACCGCGCGGTGAATCTGGTCCTCCTGGATCTCCGGGTGACAAAGGACCACCAGGAGAAGCTGGTCGGAGAGGTATTAAGGGCGAAGATGGTAAACCTGGCCCACCCGGTCCTCTAGGAAAGCCAGGCGTACAAGGTTTGCCTGGTCCAGCGGGGGTCAAAGGGGAACGTGGTGATGATGGTTTGATGGGCCCAGTAGGTCCACCGGGCTCACCCGGAGAGCAGGGACGAAGGGGATTAAAGGGTAGACTTTTAGCTAATAATTTAATTATAATATCACAATATCAAATACTTCTTTAGGTGTTCATGGGCAGCAAGGAAAACCAGGACCGCGTGGACAACAGGGTGCGACAGGATCAGATGGTCCACAAGGTCCGCCGGGACCTGTAGGTCCGGTTGGCAAAACAGGTGAACCAGGCCCAATAGGACCAAAAGGAGAACAAGGTAAATCTGGGCCAATCGGTCCCCCAGGTCGACAAGGAATTCAGGGTCAAGAAGGGCCGAAAGGCGCTGTTGGACCAAGAGGCTATCCCGGAGCGAGAGGTGAGCCTGGTCTTATGGGACCAAAGGGAGACATTGGGCCTGGCGGCGAAGACGGTAAGCCTGGTGATCAAGGACCAATAGGAGATATGGGACCAGAAGGTAGAATCGGAGAAACAGGGCCGCCCGGTAAGCAAGGACCAGAAGGACCAGCAGGTATTCAAGGAAGTCCAGGCCCGATTGGAGAAAAAGGAGATAAAGGTGATCTTGGACCCCAAGGACCGCAAGGAATTTTGGGCGCACAAGGTTTACCTGGCCTACAAGGTCCGCCAGGCACTAGAGGTCTTCCCGGTGAAGTTGGTGAAACAGGTTTGCCAGGTCCAGAAGGTGTGCCAGGAAAAGAAGGTAACATTGGTGAGACAGGACCAGCAGGGCCTAAAGGTGATCGCGGTCGACGTGGACCTAAAGGCCATCGTGGTGAGTTAGGTATGGTGGGTCTCAAGGGCGATCAAGGAGAAAAGGGTGATCGTGGTTTGCGCGGTCCACATGGACCGGAAGGGCGCAAAGGTGAGCCAGGACCAGTAGGACCACTCGGACCAAAAGGCAATGATGGAGCGCAAGGGCAACCTGGTCCAAATGGACCAGCCGGCCCTAAGGGCACAGAAGGACCGGCTGGCAATAAAGGTGATATGGGACCGCCCGGGCCAGCTGGACCACCAGGCGCACCAGCCGAAGCACCACTCATACCACCCGAGCTACTCTTCCAAATGCAACAATACTCAGGTACAAAAGCCGAAATACGACGTCGACGCGATATAGACATACATGAAGACTTAGTACCCTTCGAAGAGGATGATGACTTGAACGAAATTATGGGTGTGCTCAGCGCGCCAGAGCCACAAGTACTCACAGACCACCACAAGAAAACAAAACGAAAGCGTAAGAAGAAGCCACACGGTGACTCAAACGGAAAATTGGTGGATATGTACAGTGCCATCTATAGCATGCGTCAGGAGATGGATCGCATGCGAAAGCCGAGTGGCACACAAGACAACCCAGTGCGCACGTGCCGTGATCTACACTACGCGCATCCGCAATTTGAGGATGGCTGGTATTGGATCGATCCGAATGCTGGTATGCCCGATGATGCCATTTACGTTTATTGCAACATGAGCGCAGGCGGTGAGACGTGCATACAAGCGGATGCACACACCGCTGAAGCACCTTTGGTGCCATGGCGTCAAGCGGAGGGCAGCCTAGATTGGTACTCGCGACTCAGTGGTGGCGAGAAGATCAGCTACGATGGTGTGGGCACAGTACAACTGACGTTCCTGCGACTGTTAGCCGAGGAGGGTCATCAAAATTTCACATACGCTTGCAGTAACTCAGTTGGCTGGTACGACGCTGTTGCCGGCGATTATGCAAAGGCTCTACGGCTGCTCGGTGAAAATGAAATGGAAATCACGCACGATGGCACGCCCATACAACCCGAAGTGCTGCGTGATGAGTGTCAGGTAAGGAAGATTCATTGTTTTTGGGCTTCAAAATAATTTTTTTCTGCTTTTCCGTAGCAACCGGATCACCATGGCGAGACAGTGCTGTTAGTACGCACGAAGCGCCTCAATTATCTGCCTTTGGTGGACTTTTATCCACAGGACTATGCACGTACGGATCAAGCATTCGGTTTCAAGATGGGGCCGGCATGCTTCAAGTGAGCTGAGGAGAAGTAAAAAAATCTAGCGCTAAAATGCGTATCAAAAAAGAGAGTGCAAGAGCGAGAGAGAAACGGCGGGAGCGAGGTAGGAGCTCCCTGAATATTAATTTAGTTAAAATATACCAACAGAATTAGAGTTAAGTTCGTCATAAGCTTAGGAGATTTCCCCTAATCGACTGCCATAATTGTAATAGAAATTTATAAGCATTCGAATTGTTGTTGTAATTATATTTAGTTGTAATAAGTTTACTACTTTAAGCTGAGAGAGTCTTTTGTTGTTGAATAAGTTTTTTTATACATAAAATAAAAAATCATAATAGAAACTAAAGTTGAATGGAGATTTGGCAAAGAAATTTGAAATGTGAGGTTAGGTTTGAAATTTATAAATCGCAATCGCAGAAAAAAAGGATAGCCCTGCCCCTGTAACTGCATATAAAGAAAAAAGACTCCAGTGAAACCACTCCAACATATTCGGCTTAAAGGTTCACTAAAGTCTATTGTGGTGTCGGTTAACCTGAGCTGCGGTTGCTACCGGGTGTCTGTATTTTATTTCATTGCTTTGCGTTTTGTTTTATTTTCTTTTGTTGTATTTTTTTTTATTTTATTTTCTTTTATTTAATTTAATTTTATTTAATTTAATTTTACTTAATTTTATTTTATTTTATTTTATTTTATTTTATTTTATTTTATTTTATTTTATTGAATTTTGTTTTATTTATTTTTATTTATTTTTTTTTGCTAACAATTTCGGCGTCTATATAAATCAACGGCATATTACTCTGTTATGTTTGTACGTACATATATAAACAACTTCGTATTATTATTTGTTCACTCTTTTGCAGCAGCACGTAAATAAATGGAATTTTGAATTTTTATCACAAAAAAAAAATAAAGATTGTTTTCGACCCTTCTGAAGCATTACACCTCCCGGGCTTGTATATCTCTATTATTTCGTCCGGAATTTCCAACAATCATCCACAGCGCTTTCGCCTTTAATACGCTCTACTTTCCACGTGCCTCACATACATAATATGCACACACACACAAACGAGTACAAATGTATGTATGTATGTATGTGGGGTAATGTATTGTCCGTTTAGCATTGCAAGGCAAAAGGATTAGTGCAACAACTCGCCATGCATAAACACTTTTTAGCTGAATATGCCATGCCAGTGATAGCTGACTAAATAGAAAAAAATGTTTGAATTTTACATTTGGGTTTTTTCTTATTTTTTTTTTGGTTTTCTTCTAAGTTTTTTTTTTATGAAATCTCAGCCATCCATCGCCTTTGTGTTCTTAGTCAAATGCTGCTGCTGCTGCCGCTGCTGATGGTAACTAACCAATGTTTTGTTAATGCATTTCTACTTTAGGGCATTAGTCAGAAAGAGGTTGTTTGCCCGAAAATTCATATTTTTCACAGAAATCATAAAAAATGCATATTTACATACATACATACAAAAACATTGTAATACTTATGCAACATTTTTTTTTTTATTTTTTTGTGAAATACATAAATTTTTTTATTTTTAGAATTTTTTTCTTTTAATTTCCATCTTATTTCCCAAGCATTGTCTCATACAGTGAAAAACGAAAAATTCATAAACGGGACAACGGGACACTACTTCATTACATTTGGCATCTACATGAATTGTAAAACGGTACAAATAAAACAAAAAAAAGAAACAAAAAAAATTGAAATCACATTAAAAGGATTGTAATTCCAGCATCGCCTAAACAAATAGTCGGAAAAAATTCTTTAGAAAAAGTGTTAATAATCTCAAAAGTATGAATGTCCATAAGCGTTGAGGGGGAGAGAATGTAATGAGAGGTACATGCATATACACACAGACATACATAATTTTATATTCACTGTGGTGTTGAAGGAAGGTTAGTAATGAAATTGCCGAAATTTTGGAGATAACAAACCAATGCTTGTCTTAACTCACGAAATTTTTCTGAAAATTAAATTTTTCAAGTGCATACAATTTTTTATTTATACATCGTCAGTTTAAAAACTATGTTACATATAATATTTTATGAAATTCTGTTATATTTGATTTATTTATAACTAAAAAATAAATTAAATTCAGCGCTTGATTTACCATCAATTTTCCAAAAGGTATAAATTGCATATTCCCCCTCAGGCATGGGTACCCAGGTCAATTTGTCATTTCGTATGCGAAAACGATCAATGATTATGTCACCCTTCGAGAAAAAATCAAATATTTTAATTATAAATCTTAAAATATTTATTTGTATATTTATTTTATTTTTTATTATGATTTTGTATTTAATTTAATTTTCGTTTTTATTTTTAATTAAAATTTCATTTTCACTTCGTTATAATATTTTTTATTTATTGTTATTATTTATATATTTATTTTATTTTCAATTGTGATTTTGTATTTAATTTAATTTTCGTTTTTATTTTTAATTAAATTTTCAATTTCATTTAGTTATAAAATTTTTATTTTTATTATTCTTATTTATATATTTATTTTATTTTTTATTATGATTTTGTATTTTATTTAATTTTTATATTACTTTTTAATCAAATTTTCATTTTCATTTAGTTATAATATTTTTTTATTAGGTTTTTTTTTAAATTATTTTTAATTTTAATATTAATTAATTTCTTGTTTAATTTTAATTCCCATTTTAATTTTAGAATTAACATTAAATATAGTGTAATTATAAATTTAAATATTGAATTATATTAAATTGAAATTTTTAATGTTAAGTTTTAATTAAATGTTAATTTTGGGTGTTTAAATATTAGTTTTTGATATATAAGAATAGAATGATCAATTCATTATTTTAAAATTTTCCTTCTTAAATTTTCGCTTTTATCATTTATACAAATTTTTTTAGTAAGAAATTCAATTAATATTCATTTAACTTGACATTTTAGTTTTTATTGTTGTAATATTTACAAATTTACAGACTGACATTGTTCTCGAATTTAATGTGTATTGTATTATTTTGTTTTATTTTCATTGTATTTTAATTTTAATAATTTTAAAATATTTATTTACATTCCCCATTTCATTGTATTTTATTATATTTTTTATTGATTTATTTATTTTAATTTTTTTATTAAATTTTTTATTGATTTATTTATTTTAATTTTTTTATTAAATCCTTTTATTATATTATTTTTTTATTATATTTTATTATTTTCTATTCCTATTTTACGTTTAATTTCATTTAATTATATTTATTTTAATTTTTCTTATGTGAATTTGATTCATTTAAATTTTTTATTTATTTTGTTGTTTTTAATTTTTTTTTGTGTTTATATATGTATGTATATTTAAATTACTTTATTTAATGTACTTTTTAATTTTTTTTTTTGGTTTTATTTAATTTCAATTTTTTATTTCTTTTTTAATTTTATTTTATTCAAATGTTTAAAGTTTTATTTAATTCTGTTTTATTAAGTTTTCAAATTTAAATGTCATTAATTTTTTATTATATTTTTGTTAATTAAATTTTTTGTTGAATTAAGTTTACATTATTGTACTTTGATTTATTACAATATCTTGAATTTTCTAATTTATTTTAATCTTATTTTATTTCATTTATTTAATATATTTGTATTTTATTTATTAAAATCTTTTATTTTATTTTAACCTAATTTAACTATATTTTATGCAATTTTAATTTCTTTAATATAAATTAATTTGCATTTTTAAATTTTCTTGCATTTTTTATATAAAATTATATAATTTAATTTTAAATTTAAATAAATTCTAATTTTTTTTATTTTGAATTATTAATATTTTAAAATATTTTTCAATTTCGTATTTGTATTAAATTATTTCAATTTACTTTAAATTAAATTAACTATATTTTTTTTTGTATTTTATTAAATTATTTTAATTCATTTTTTATTAATTTTATATTTTTTTTTAAATATTGTTCCCATTTTTATTTTCAAATTTATTTTACTGTATTAAATTTTAAATTTAAATAATTTTAAATTTAATTTTTTTTTTTAATTATTTCATTTATTTAACTTTAATACTAAAGTTTAAGATTCTTTTATTTTGGATTTTTATTAATGTATTTCCTTTTTTTTATATTAATTTAACTATATTTTATGCTGTATTTCATTTTATAATTTAATTTAATTTATTATTAAATTTATTTTATTTTTAGTTTTGTTGCCTTTTTTAATTCATATTTAATTATTTTATATCACTCTATTTAATTTATTTAATTTTAAATTATTTTAAATTATTTCATTTATTTAATATTAATATTAAATTTTAAGATTTTTTTCTTTTTGTACTTTTATTAATATATTTCATTTTATTTGAAATTAAATTAACTATATTTTATGCTATATTTATGTATTTAATTAATTTAATTTCTTATTATAATTTCTTTTTTTACTTTTGTTTCTTTATTTAATATAAATTTCATTATATTTTTCACTTAATTAAATATCAAATTTTAATTTTTCTAATTTCCTTTTGATATTATATTATTTTCTTTTATATTATTTTTTATTTTAGTTCCTTTTTATTTAGTTTTCGCTTTTATGTATTTATATCTTATTCTCCTGTCTCAATGTTACCTGATATGGGCACGAGTGATTCATATTCGAATATTCCTCGATAATTCCGAATAGATAATCCGCAATGCGATATAATTTTCGATTGGCGAGAAATTTACAAGCATCGTAAGTTCTTTCGCCGAAGTACAACGAATAATCCGTAGATTTCTTCATAAAGCTTAAGCGCACCTAAAGAGTTTAAAGAACAAATTTTGAAAAATGTTTGAAATGATTTTCCTCCACCCAAAGTTACGGTAATATTCGATGTAGCCCTTGCCAGGCTAACAAGCAGCGAGGTCTCGGTAACATTTCGGGAAATTGGCCTTGTGTAACACCGCTGAATGCGTACCAGATTCGGATCGAGAGATTTGCAGCGGATGTAGGTGAATTTCACGACAGCCAAATCGCACTGCGAAGGAAAGGAAGATTTAAATATTTGCTGTTTATTTTCCTGGACTTCCTCACATTTGGTATAATCCAAATTGTTGTTAGAAATAAAAATCCTATAAATTTAGTAAAGCTACACATTTTGAACCGTCGCCTGGGAAAGTTATTAACAAATGATCTTGTCGATTGCCCACAAGTTGTCGTCATTGAAAATTGATGCGATACATATATTAATGAGATAATAATTAGCTCATTGAAAAATTAGAATTTCAAATTGGAAATTAGCAAGCGCAACATTTGTGGTATTCACAGAGTTGAGCGTAATATTTTTCAAGTTCATTGAAACCGAGATCATAGAATAAATTTTCCTTTGGAAAGAAATGAAAACTTTGTTTCATATCGGCTCTTCTATCACTCCAGCAGTACGTTTCTCGGATATGAATGCTCGAAATCGACGGCCGATCTCTTTCTCTCTCTCTCTCTATCTCTCTCACTCTCACTCTCTCTCTCTCTATCTCTCTCACTCTCACTCTTTCTCTCCCCCTTTCTCTCTCTCTCTCCCTTTCTCTCTCTCTCTCTCCCTTTCTCTCTCTCTCTCTCCCTTTCTCTCTCTCTCTCTGTCCCTCTCTCCCTTTCTCTCTCTATCTCTCTCATTCTCACTCTCTCTCTCGCTCCCTCTCTCTCTCTCTCCCCCTCCCTCTCTCTCTCTCTCTCTCATACATATCCACCATCAAATTCGTGCTGCTTTACGCGAGGTTGAGCAATTGATGTAGTCCTTGCCACATACATCTAGTTCCTTATGTCCGTTCCCTTCATTGTATTTATTTGGTTGGCGGTGAAATTAGTCTTTATTCCCATAAAGAGACTAACCTGCTGTGCAGGCACACCTTAATATTTAAAGAACTGGACTGAACCCTTAAATTGTGGCCTTAAAAGCAAACACACTAATCATTGCTCTTTTCCTCTGGGGTCGTTTCAAAGGGGCTTAGAATACTAATACATTTATATAGAAGTACCGACGTCCGCAAGCAGTCGCTGCTCTGATGAACAGACACTGAAAAAAACTCTAGCAAGCACTTAAACCGAATATGTCGGAGCTAGCTCTCTTTTAGCAGTACTGTGACTGCACCAGTGATGAGCAATTGGTTCAGGAAAAGTCTTGGCGTCTTGCGCCGACAGGATCTACTCGATGGGTTTCAGGTGGTTTCATTAAGCCATCTGCCATTGACTCTCAAGCTTAGTCCCCCACACTTCCTTTTGCATTCTACTTAGAGGGTTTTTATATTTTATTATCACTTTTGACGTGGTAAAGTTGAAATGTAGAGATCTGAAGGCAGGTTGGCTGCCGGAGTTTTTAGTAATGGATTGATCAGTGATCGTAGATTGAAGCAACCATTCGGTAGCATCCGTGTAATTGCTGCTCGGAAGGCGCTTCAGTGGTCTGGTAGCCTCATGTTCCAGTCGAGTGAGAGTAACTGAAGTGGAGTTGATTCCACCTACAATAGAAACACTGAGTTTTGTGCTGGGTTTAAAGAAATGAATATTGTTTTCTCTGGAACATTTACATATTCTCATTCGCTGCTTTCATGAATGCCAAATGTATTGAAGAGAGTAACCGGGTTTGCACTCTCTAAGTTGCATTGTGTTCCGTCGAATGGTGTTTGCCATGAAGGTCGAGTGGAAAAAAGTTTAGAAGAAGACGGAAACAATTGGCTACTGGAGTCGGCCACCATCCATCGTATCTTAGGTCAGTTTCCAAATCATCTAGAACGGTTAATAGAGCGCGCGCTTAAAACCTCAGCTGATTATGCTGACGTGCAAGCGGTGCTCTCTGTAAGCCTATGCCGTCTCTTCAAGGATCTATATAGCATATAGACAACAGTGGCAGTAAAGTGTCGTAAGACCCATAACCCTTGCAATGACTGCAATGTACCAGTCCGCTGAGTACAGTAGGCTGCTTGAAATCAAGACCCTGGAATTCTGTCATGACATCATACCAATTAATGTACAAGTGTTGTAGAGAGCAGTACTAACAGCTACACGCCTGAAAGTCCTACACAATATGGGTACAGTCTTCAAACTGTGAAGATCATTATGACATAAAAAGGCTTATAGCACACCCCGGGTTAATGGACAGTGCAACCGAGCAGCGGAAACTTTATTAAAGTTGCGAATCAACTGCTTATTCCTACACGGCAAAGTATGAACAGAAGACAAGGCAATGGGTATCTGTGAGAATAATTATTTCTACTGGTAGCTCTGTACGAGAGACCGGCGAAAGAGCAGAGTTCTTCTGGGACTGCGCCAATAAACCAAGGTACAATAGTTTCAAATTTAATGACTACAACACTGTTTTAAGTCCAAGTGCGCGAGCCATAAAGAAGAACACAGGAACTTATTTTGGATCACAGGGCACTGAGATATAGAAGGTAATGAAACTGGCACCGCCGATCACCAGCGCCCACCTCGCATTCTTCACTGCATTCAAATCTCTCGTCTAAAACAATGGAACCCTGAGGAATGTATAAGGAGCTGGAACGAATTCAACGTAGGTCTGCTTCGATTGGAGACACACCGAACTGTTAGTTGCATGAGGAAAAAGGGTAGTTTGTATGTGTTGCTTTTAGGTAGGACGTCCCGGCAACTAATAACAGTTTCAAAAACAGTTAAGGAAGGTTATAACTATAAGCTGAAGGCAGAGCATGCATACTAGAAGGCGCAAACTTCGAGCTCTGTGTTTGCGAGTGTCCGGTCTCCATCGATTGGTTGGGACGTCAAATCTTCCTCGAGGCACCAATCCTCTTTTTTTTGAAGTTTGTTAGGGGACCACAATGAGCCCACTTAATAGCTTAACTACAGCTGCTCACAGTCTGGTTCTAAAACTCCTCTTTCAACCAAACCTTCTGTTGTCCTACAAAAGCTTGCCGAACTAAGCAACACACTCACCTGCCTACCTCTAAACGCTGAAAGAGTGGCAATCAATATCAAAAACACGTGACAAATTGAATACCAAAATCGATGAAACAGCTGATATTACAAAAACAACACACTTTATAAACAAAAACAATAAGAGAGACTACAAATATTCTTGTATTCGAACAATTTTTTTGCAACTCAATGAGTAAAAGTCTCTCACAAAGCTCTCTCAGTGCCGAAATTCGACCATTCGCCAGCGATTGCGCAAGAGAAACTGGTCGAAAAATGGTGACACTCGCCGTTCACCATGCAAAGACCAATCAACAAAAAAATAGGCGGAGCCAAACAACAATAACTGAGCGTCGCTGTGGAGCGGCTGGAGTGTGAGAGCGCCGGACAGAGGTGAACGCTTGCGCGCATATACTGAATGAATACAGTAAATACTTAAGTGTACACGTATGTATGTGCATATGTGTATGCATGCGCGTGTGTGCTGTGTGTTGACTAAGTAGGGTGGCTGGTCTCGGTCTGACATTAAAATCCGGCGTAGCGTAGAGAAAAAAAAACGACTTTTTGACAATATAAATGCGGCAGAAGGGTGGGTTGAGTGAAGGCAGCGGCAGCGGTGAGAGGTGAGAGGTGAGAGGTGAGCTCTGAGTGGCAACAATGCAGGCGGTAGTTAAGTATGTGCGTATGATAAAGTCAGCAGGAGCAGCGCACAACGAGTTAGCACAATATCAACTGCACATATGTGTGTGTGTGTGCGTGTAATGAAACAACAATAAAACAAAAGCGAATGGCGTGAGGTATTGGCTTTCGCTCTGCATGTATTGGTTAACACACATATATATATATATATATATGTTGTATATATATATTGTATATATATGTGTATATACTTGTATGCGTGTGTATGTGTGAGCTTATGCTGGCATTTTGGCATTGTTGCTGCTTACAGCCATTATCCTGGCGCTTGCCTATCCATACATACATACACACACACACACGATGTACATATATACATATATGTCATTACATGTAGCTGTTGTTGCTACTGCTGCTCCTCTCTCTGGCGTTGGCCATGTGTGACTTTGCATTCTGACTGGTTAATATAACCGCAGGATTGTATTACGCCGTCACGTAGCCACTTAGTACATTGACACCTTGGCTCCTACCGCTTATGCGAGCGTGCTAGACACTTGATTACCCACACCGCGTGGCGGGGTACGGCTAAGGACGGTAATGTTGTTGTTGTTGTTGTTGTTGTTGTTGACGTTATTGTTTTTGTTGTTGTTGTTGTTGTTGTTGTTGACATTATTGTTGTTGTTGACGTTATTGTTGTTTTGTTGTTGTTGTTTTTGTCGATGTTGTTTTTGTCGTTGTTGTTGTTTTTGTTGTTGTTGTTGTTATTGTTATTATTGTTGTTGTTGTTGTTGTTGCGCCTAGGCAATAATAGTGTATATGAACGTACGGTGGATATGTACATATGTATGTATGTATGTATGTATGTATGTACATATATATGTTTGTATGTATGCATGTGTGTATGTAAGTATGTATGTATGTATACGAGAGTAGGGATTTCGTAACAGACAGTATTAATTACCAAACATGCACATATACACACACATATATACAACTATGTAGATGGCTATGTACATATGTATGTATGTTTGTATGTAAACTTGCCTTAGACCATGTGGAATGCGATAAAAGGCACAAAAATAGGTTAACAGTAGTTTGCTTTGGGTGAAATGACAATGTTTGTGAGGTGTGGATTAGCAGTACACACCACTATGTGGAAGTTCACAGGTTCGAATCCTGAACCGAGATTATGTATATACATATAATTGGTACATTGTAACGGCTGAAGCAATTTTCGACCGAGCTCCCCTTCCAATTTGTGGTTTCTCATCCTGAGGTTCTTCCAACGAATGGAGGGACCTACAGTTTACACTAAGACGCCTCCGAACGGGTGATGGATTTTATATAAGGAGCTTTTTGATTTTCATGACATAACAACATACAGAGGGGTTGACCTTCCCTTCCGAGCGGCGAACGCAATTAGAAAATTTAACATGATCAGAGGTTAGGTTAGGTTGGGCTCGTTTACCCAGTGGATCTCACATGCACGAAATACAACTATAGTGTTGCCAGGTACACTACATGCGACCAAGCTGTGCTGCTACACTCCTATTGTGCCTCTCGTTCTGGCTTCTTCGCCA